TGGAAAACTTTAACCTTCGATATCTCCTAAAACGGTTAGAGATACAGGCTCGGACAGTACCAAATTAAAGCCTTTCAACCCTACATTTTGGACTACATGGACGACCTCTCTACTCCCAGTAGAAGCGGAGATATACGGACGGAGAAAAGGTTGGAAAACTTCTTTAACCTTCGATATCTCCTAAAACGGTTAGAGATACAGGCTTCGGACAGGTACCAAATTAAGCCCTTTCAAAAACCCTACATTTGTGACTACATGACGACTCTACTCCCAGTAGAAGCGGAGATATCGACGGAGAAAGGTTGGAAAACTTTAACCTTCGATATCTCCTAAACGGTTAGAGATACAGGCTCGGACAGGTACCAAATTAAAGCCCTTTCAAAACCCTACATTTTGGACTACATGGACGACCTCTACTCCCAGTAGAAGCGGAGATATCGACGGATGAAGACTGGATATCGACGGAGAAAGGTTGGAAAACTTTAACCTTCGATATCTCCTAAACGGTTAGAGATACAGGCTTCGGACAGGTACCAAATTAAAGCCTTTCAAAACCCTACATTTTGCACTACATGGACGACTCTCTACTCCCAGTAGAAGAACCGGGAGATATCGACGGAGAGAAAGGTTGCGAAAACTTTAACCTTCGATATCTCCTAAACGGTTAGAGATACAGGCTTCGGACAGGTACCAAATTAAAGCCCTTTCAAAACCCTACATTTTGGACTACATGGACGACTCTCTACTCCCAGTAGAAGCGGAGATATCGACGGATGAAGACTGGATATCGACGGAGAAAGGTTGGAAAACTTTAACCTTCGATATCTCCTAAACGGTTAGAGATACAGGCTTCGGACAGGTACCAAATTAAAGCCTTTTCAAAACCCTACATTTTGCACTACATGGACGACTCTCTACTCCCAGTAGAAGCGGAGATATCGACGGAGAAAGGTTGCAAAACTTTAACCTTCGATATCTCCTAAACGGTTAGAGATACAGGCTTCGGACAGGTACCAAATTAAAGCCCTTTCAAAACCCTACATTTTGCACTACATGGACAACTCTCTACTCCCAGTAGAAGCGGAGATATCGACGGAGAAAGGTTGGAAAACTTTAACCTTCGATATCTCCTAAATGGTTAGAGATACAGGCTTCGGACAGGTACCAAATTAAATCCCTTTCAAAACCCTACATTTTCGACTACATGGACGACCCTCTACTCCCAGTAGAAGCGGAGATATAGACGGATGAAGGATGGATATCGACGGAGAAAGGTTGGAAAACTTTAACCTTCGATATCTCCTAAACGGTTAGAGATACAGGCTTCGGACAGGTACCAAATTAAAGCCCTTTCAAAACCCTACATTTTGCACTACATGGACGACTCTCTACTCCCAGTAGAAGCGGAGATATCGACGGATGAAGACTGGATATCGACGGAGAAAGGTTGGAAAACTTTAACCTTCGATATCTCCTAAACGGTTAGAGATACAGGCATCGGACAGGTACCAAATTAAAGCCCTTTCAAAACCCTACATTTTGCACTATATGGACTACTCTCTACTCCCAGTAGAAGCGGAGATATCGACGGAGAAAGGTTGGAAAACTTTAACCTTCGATATCTCCTAAACGGTTAGAGATACAGGCTTCGGACAGGTACCAAATTAAAGCCCTTTCAAAACCCTACATTTTGCACTACATGGACGACTCTCTACTCCCAGTAGAAGCGGAGATATCGACGGAGAAAGGTTGGAAAACTTTAACCTTCGATATCTCCTAAACGGTTAGAGATACAGGCTTCGGACAGGTACCAAATTAAAGCCCTTTCAAAACCCTACATTTTGCACTACATGGACGACTCTCTACTCCCAGTAGAAGTGGAGATATCGACGGATGAATACTGGATATCGACGGAGAAAGGTTGGAAAACTTTAACCTTCGATATCTCCTAAACGGTTAGAGATACAGGCTTCGGACAGGTACCAAATTAAAGTCCTTTCAAAACCCTACATTTTGCACTACATGGACGACTGTCTACTCCCAGTAGAAGCGGAGATATCGACGGAGAAAGGTTGGAAAACTTTAACCTTCGATATCTCCTAAACGGTTAGAGATACAGGCTTCGGACTGGTACCAAATTAAAGCCCTTTCAAAACCCTACATTTTGGACTACATGGACGATTCTCTACTCCCAGTAGAAGCGGAGATATCGACGGAGAAAGGTTGGAAAACTTTAACCTTCGATATCTCCCAAACGATTAGAGATACAGGCTTCGGACAGGTACCAAATTAAAGCCCTTTCAAAACCCTACATTTTGGACTACATGTACGACCCTCTACTCCCAATAGAAGCGGAGATATCGACGGATGAAGGCTGGATATCGACGGAGAAAGGTTGGAAAACTTTAACCTTCCATATCTCCTAAACGGTTAGAGATACAGGCCTGGTTCTGGCACCAAATTAAAGTCCTCTCAAAACCCTACATTTTGCCGTAAGTGGCGACTCTCTACTCCCAGTAGAAGCGAAGATATCAACGCAGAAATGTTGGAAAACTTTAACCTTCGATATCTCCTAAACGGTTAGAGATACAGGCCTGGTTCTGGCACCAAATTAAAGTCCTCTCAAAACCCTACATTTTGCCGTAAGTGGCGACTCTCTACTCCCAGTAGAAGCGGAGATATCAACGCAGAAAGGTTGGAAAACTTTAACCTTCGATATCTCCTAAACGGTTAGAGATACAGGCCTGCTTCTGGCACCAAATTAAAGTCCTTCAAAACCCTACATTTCAATACCCTACATTTTCGACTACATGGACGACTCTCTACTCCCAGCAGAAGCGGAGGTATCGACGGAGGAAGGCTGGATATCGACGGAGAAAGGCTGGAAAACTTTAAACTTCGATATCTCCTAAACGGTTAGAGATACAGGCCTGGTTCTGGCACCAAATTAAAGTCCTCTCAAAACCCTACATTTTGCCGTAAGTGGCGACTCTCTACTCCCAGTAGAAGCGGAGATATCAACGCAGAAATGTTGGAAATCTTTAACCTTCGATATCTCCTAAACGGTTAGAGATACAGGCCTGGTTCTGGCACCAAATTAAAGTCCTCTCAAAACCCTACATTTTCGACTACATTGACGGCTCTCTACTCCCAGTAGAAGCGGAGATATCAACGGAGAAAGTTTGGAAAACTTTAACCTTCGCACCGGATTTCACTGTCCTGGATTATTATTTATGGGGAAGGGTAAAAGTCAGTACTTATACCGTAATCGAGTAGAACTCTAAAAAAATTGTCATTTTTTACATAGTGAGAAGCGTCGTGAAGTTGGCCCTCCGATTTTTAAAATGGTATTTTCTCTGCTTTAAATGACGAAACTCTTTCTATAAAGGATTGCGAACTCTAGAACTCTGCGAGGGGCATTGAGAACTCTAATAATTTTATTCAAATTTGAAGAATGAAGGGCTATCTTCACAGAGGTGATGGGGCGAACACATTCTCTGTCTCTCTTTTGCTTGGCTCGTCGAAACAAGTCGAGCGGTGGGCGGGGTCTCAAAGGAAGTGTCATCGGCGAAACGTGCAATGCTTGCGATGCCCGTGTGTTGTATGCAATACGTGCATTTTCTTAGAAAATGAAGAAAATTTTATTGTGGTACACGTATGTTGTATGCAACGCGTGCATTTTCTTGAAAAACGAAAAAAAAAGGTTGGCGAAAAAGGACAACGCCGACCGCCAAGGAAATGCGAACCACCGACCTCAACCCCTCGAGTCCAGTGTACTTCCACCAAGCCACACGCTCTTTGAGAAGCTCGCTCCTTCATTTGGTTCATGTAGCACTCGCGATTTTCAATCGCGACTTTCTTGCAAACGCTTCAATGCTACGCCGTATCTTTAAGTGCAATGTTAATTTGTCATGCAAATTTATCGACACAACGAGTTTAGTCGAAATCGATTGCTATTGATCATCTCGTTGGATTCACGCCGAGAGTGAAACGTCAGTCTCGGCCGTGTATCGGGAAGCACAATCTCAACAACGTTGCGAATCAAAGCGAGATGGAGAGAACACATTCCCTCTCTCTCTCTTTTTCGCTTGACTCGTCAAAACAAGCCGAGCGGAGGGCGGGACTTCAGACGGATAGACGGGAGCAGTTTCTCTGTGTGTGTGTGCCGACTACATTCTTACATAGAAACGTACGGCAATTGAAAATGTTTAAGCATATACCCTGAGATTCTATCTGTTGCGTATGACACGTGTGTGTGTGTGTGTGTTTGTGTGAGTGCGTATATGCACACGTACGTCACGCACACTTTCAATGCAACACATGCACACGGACACAACTGCGCTAAAAAACGCCTGCCGGAGTATAAATAAATACTAACGTAACGCTGAAATATTTTAGAAAAATAATTTTGGGTACACACAAAATATTATCTTATTATCATATATTTATATATCGATATAAATCGTATATAATCTTCATGATATTAATCATATACAATCTCAATTCTTATTTTTTTTGTGCATGTTAACATGTTAATTCATGTTACAAATGTATAACAATGCGCGAGACCGTGCTTGTCAAGTACTATTATGGTTGTAGTACGGACATAAACCGCCTGAAAGTGGATGTAGCACGGACAACCACTAGATGCAGGTTTTACCGTCGAGACCTAAAAGTGGATGCAGCATCGTAGTTCCCCTCTCAAAATGGATGCAGATAGCGCCCATTCCCAGTGCGAAAAATCGGTGTCGCCGAAAACGCCGTATTGGCCGCTCTCAGCTTCCTCTCTGGTAATAGCCTTCCTTTCTTGAATTTGTAACGTCTGTAATTTATGGCTGTGTTCCAAAATTCATTGCCAGTACTGAAAATCTATAGTATATGTGTCACAAACTATGTATTTTCAGTACTAGCAGTGAATTTTGGAACGCAGCCTGAATCACCATGGTAATCGATATAAAGGCTGCGTTCCGAAATCGACTGCCAGTATTGAAAATATATAATTTGTATTACGTATATTATAGATTTTCAGTACTGGCAGTGAATTTTGGAACACAGCCATAAATTACTGACGTTACAAATTCAAGAAAGGAAGGCTATTACCAGAACGCGGCCATAGTATTACCTTGTCGGTGCTTCAGCTAAAACAGTCGGTATTGTCATTGGTTTGGAATTACAGTCGAGCCCCCGTGGTCCCTTTGCAAGTATGTAAATTTACCTTGGACTGACAGTCTTTAGCATTTCCTCATCGGTGATCTAACTAATGGTATTAACATTAAACTCTTGAATTGTGCGATTTGTTCTAGACTATGAAACAATTAATTTAAAAAGAATTTTATCATAGTTTATGTCATATCTGTATAAACTGCTTCTCCTCAAGATGCTTGAAGATTATCTGTTAAAATATCACATAAAAGAGTTGGAAGAGATATTGAATGCTGCAGATGATCACATGTTCTATTCAATACACATAAAGTAAGTTTTAATTAATTTTTTAATTTAAGTATTTTTTAAATTTTTATAATGTTAACATATAATATTTTTTTTTCATTCAAGTTTACTTACTCGTATAATTTCACATAATTAAGTTCCAATACATTAATAAAATTGGCAGATTATGTTTCTGTGATAATATTCCTTATGTCTTTGTGTAATTTTTCAGTTTTGTATCCTTATTTGATCTTGATGCAGAGAATGCACAGAAAATCTTACATAATCCTAGACATTTTTTACCATTATGTGAGAAGGCAATAGTAAAAGCTCAAGAACAACTATGCAAGATGGATCAAACAGTAAAAACTAGAGTATGAGCTTTTGTTATATTATCATTATCATTGTTACTTCTATAGATTCTATATTATTTTGTTTAATTTATAATAATGTTTATTTTTTCTTAGTGTTTAATGAATATATATTAAATATTTAAAAATTTACATTTAAGTGCAAACTTTAATTATTAATTACATATAATTATATATGTATATACATATATTCTTAGTTAAACTAAATCATAACAATGTACCTTATTTAAATTTATATAGTATTCATTCATGTAGATGCAATTTTTAAATTAATATTATTGATAACATAAATGTTAATAACAATCTTATTTAATTATGTCATCATACACAGGTCCATGTTAGAATTATTGCTGTACCAATAAAAATTGATACAGGTCAAATCGGTGAGCTAATTTCGACATCTGGAATTGTTGTACGCATGTCCCAATCCACAGTTATGAAGTTAAAAAAACGTTTCATCTGTAAAAAGTGCAAACATGTTACTGTGGTTAAAGTACGTAAATCATTAAGCAACAATAAAATCAAAGTTTAACATAAGATTATAATAATATTAATTTTAAGATTAAATACAATATTTAAACATTGGCTTCAATGTTGTAGTTAGAATGGGAAAGACAATTATTTAGGGATGCCAAGAGTTGCAACGCATGTCATTCTCCAAATGTTACAGCCTCAACATCTTTAAATCAAGATGATTGCTCTGACTATCAAGAAATAAAGATTCAGGTATCTTAGGAAATTTTGTATATTTCTACTTATATGTTTTTGCCTTCTTATTAAACAATATTTTTTATTTATATAGGATAAGTGTAAGATCGACACAAGAAGCTGTTATGCAGTGGGTCTACAAGTAGTTCTATTGGATGATCTTGTTGACAAATGTAGACCTGGGGATAATGTAGACATTAGGTTGCTACAATGTTATAATATTGCATAATATTTCGACTATTCGATCATTTCTTTGATTAGCTACTAGTGAACGAATCACTTATATAAAATATTTGTAGTGGAATAATTATACGAAAATGGGGTATATTAAAACCTGGTCAACGTGCGGAAGCTACGACGTTTCTAATGGCGAATAGCATTTCCATACGCAGGAAATTTTCAGAAGCAACGTTTTCTACCGCAGAGATAAAGAATACCTTTACAGCATTTTGGGAAAATTATCAGGACGATGCGTTATGCGGCAGGAACAACATTCTCGCTTCTATTTGTCCGCAAGTACGTTCAAGTTTTTACATTACAAAGTATAATACAAAGTAGTACCGTGTCATAAAATGTACACTTTTCAATAAATATATAACGTTCTCATCTTTCGGATGTTCCGGATCCACAGATGTACGGGATGTATATGGCGAAATTAGCTTTGGCAGTTGTATTATGTGGTGGTGTCGTCAAAACTAACGAAACAGAGACGCGCGTAAGAGGTGAGCCCCATCTTCTGCTGATTGGAGATCCGGGCACTGGAAAGTCGCAATTGCTTCGTACTGCATCACGATTAATTACAAGATCCGTCTTTACAACCGGCATCGGCACTACCGCCGCTGGACTCACAGCAGCTGCTGTCAAAGTTAGTATACATTAAGTGCTTTGTACCTGTTCAACTTGTGGAGTTACGCGATCATTGTTTGATGAGTGATCTCTTAGATGTATATTACAGGACACGGATGGCTGGCATTTAGAAGCCGGTGCTTTAGTGCTTGCAGATGGAGGTGTATGTTGTGTGGATGAGTTCACAACGATGAGCTCTCATGATAGAACCTCTGTACATGAGGCGATGGAGCAACAAACAATCTCCATAGCCAAAGCTGGTATAGTGAGCACATTGAATAGTCGTTGTTCAGTCGTCGCAGCTATTAATCCAAACGGTGGATGTTTTACGGGTGACGAGTGGAAAACTTGCTTAGGAAATCCTCTATTGTCGCGTTTTGATCTGATCCTCCTCTTGCGAGATAATAAAAATCCAGAATGGGACAAAATGATGTCGACTCATATCTTAAAAGCTGCTTGCGAAGACGAGGAGAACATTTCGTAATGATACATGATCTACTTCATTCACAGCATATTTTGTTTGCAGCGATTAATAATGTGACAAATGGTTACAGCCATTCCGAAATATATATGGGTCCTTCAAATCTGGGAGGCCTGTGGAGAGAAGAGAGTCTTTGCGAATATTTTGCACACGTGCGTGCATTGAAACCAGTGTTGACCGAAGAAGCAAAAAAGATACTCAGTGCAACATATCTTTATCACAGATCGAATCCGTGCAAAAGGCCTGAAAGAACAACAGTGCGGCTCTTAGATAGTCTTATCAGGTATAAAATAATTATTGAATTATTCATTATAGTATAGCATCTCGCAAGATTTCTTTGTTTCACTTCGCACATATAATATATCCTAAATCAATTCTGGCTCAAATTAATGCAACGATGCGTCATTCAGATTAGCGGAAGGTCACGCAAAACTTATGTATCGTACTAAAGTGGAAATCGTTGATGCTGTGACAGCAGCGGAGTTGGTTGGAACTACTCTAATTAACGATGTTGATATTGGTTGTTCATTTCCAGTAGATCCTATTGCAACTTATCATTCTACAGGTATGCATATGTCATCAAATGATTTGCGAAACTCTGTGTGTGCGCGCATATGTATAAATATATAAAATATTCAAGAAAATTTTATCTGATTTTACTGATGACTCAATATTTTCTTACAGCGAAAGACTTGCTTAAGAAGCTTAATTTACAAGAATTAGAACCATATATATAAATAACAGTTTGTAAACATATATCGCAGTTAGATGAGATTAAAAATTAATTTATTCATTACTTAACGAATCATTTTTATAGTATTTGTCAAGTTTGATAATTCTTGGAATAATATACGATTGCGTAATTTTATTTTATAGTAATTGATTATACTCGATATGTATACAATTTCGTTTGTAACCACTATCTTCAAAATCTTCAATTGTATTTAAATTTATTATATCATTAAAATATTTTGAAAAATACAAATGAATTTTACTATATTTATATTTGTTTCAACAAATAACAATTGCATTTTTACTCTTTAATCGGAAAAACTATATAAATGATTTCTTATAATAATCAAATTATTTTTTAATATTCATATCATATTACAAAGATTATTAAATTATTCATACAAATTTGTAAAATACTCAATCAAAATATATCTTACTGTCGGTATTATTTCACAGAATTCATATTTTAATAAAATGAAAATCTCTAATGTGAAATAACAGCCATGACGAAAAGTAATCCAACATTATTATATAAAGAGGAATGTATAGGATTTTACAAGGTTTACAAAAGGGCTATTTGCGAATATTCATAAGTAAATTAACATTTATGATAATATTCAACAAATATGAACCTTATTATGTCACAAGCTTAACTTTGCAATTGTTTCTTTTTTACTTGAAATAAACTTAATTACTTCAGTGTGTATACCTAACTCACACATGATCACATTGTCATGAAACTGTGTCACTAAAATATAAAAGCTAGTAAATATAAGCAATTGTGTAATAAAATTATAGATACAGTTATTAATATAATCATAATTAATATATAACTCATTCACATAATAATCTAATTTTATGATCTCATACATCAATGCGCATGATAAACAATAGTGAACAAATAGATCAAACTCATGCAAAGAAATGTTACGTGTATTTACACGTGCATTTGCACGTGTTTACATATGCATAGAGTTTCCTTTGAAACATAGAATATTATTATGATCTTCAGAACCAAGTACATTAAATCGGAAAGATTTTAGAATATCTCTTAATACTTCATTATTTCGCTTCATTATTGGTTGTACAGTTAACTTTGTTAAGACAACGTATATTAGAGATTAGATTCGAACGTGAAGCACAATTTTCATACATCGCAGCGTTTCAATGTAAGAATAAATCTCGAGACACATTGAATTTCTATGACTTTTTTCATCTTTTTATAATTCATATACAGCAGAACTAATGAGATCTATCCATTTACTGAATGATGTAAAGCCAGAACGTAGTATACAAATAAAATGGGAGAATTATTTAATAACGCGGTTGAGTCGCGTTAGCCATCTGCGTGCGAACTGCAGTTGCCGCGACATTGCTCGCAGCATTCTGCACATGTTCATTTCGCAAGAAAGTTGTTGCGAACTCTTGTTGCGCCTTGGTAACACTCGCATCTGAAGTACGATAGATGCGATGAATCTGGAAAATCAATAATTTCATTTTTACTTACTGGAAGTTAATCGAAAGATTGAAGATTTTTGTCTACTATTTGAAATATTCATTGTACCTTAGTGAGCAATAAGAGATCACCGCTTGCTGCAAGGAAGAAACAAATAGCGATGACCAGAATGAGAAGAGCGACAATTATACCTTTGGCTGTGTGATCAAATTGTTCAACTGCAAGTATTATCCCACTAAAAATAAATAATAAAATTTATATTAGCATGTAAATATCTGCATATGTTATATACTAAAGAATAAAAAAAATACATTACCAAGTTCCTGCACCTGGAATACCTATAGCCTGGATGGTAGTGACAATCAATTGAAAGAAGAAGACGAAGAAAAAGACCATGAAATTAAAAGAGCTGTCATTTCTGAAAAACCAAAAGAAAAAAGATTGAAGTAACTTACTTATTTTCATATATTGCTTAATACTTGTAATATTAAACAGAATTATAGGCATACTTGAAAGCTCTATATGCTGGTCTAAACCAACACATGAAAGAAAATGGTGTAAAAAGTATGAGATATAAGATAGCCAATCCAAATGTAGAGAAACCCTGGCCACAAAGCATCAAAACGAATCCTCCGATCACGTTTAACAGCAGAACACAGCCATGAACTTGTAAATAATATTTCTAAATATATTATCGATTTCAATAGATAAATACATAGGTGTTTTCACAATAAAACTTACACATCCAAAGATAATATAATTGTCTCACTATCTTTTGAAAATTAGTGTGAATTTCAACATCAATATCCTGATAGAAGCATGGTTGGAAACAGCATTTATCCGGTAGAGGTGGCCAATTATTTCTCCTTGCTACAATAACATCAAAAGTTTTAGTACATGTCTAGTTAAAAAGAAGTTATATTTAACATATTGTTGCGCCCACGCTTTTGAGGATTATTTCGATAATCAGTTGCCGTAGTTCTCTGTAACGAGTCAATGCTAAAAAATCAACAGCTGACTAAAAAATCGTATACGAGTTTTCGAGCTAGACTGATGTGTAGCGAATCTGAGACCGTGAGATTCCCATTACCTTCTCTCGTAAATACGAATTCATTAAACATTAAGTCTTTTTATAAACATGTGTATTTATTTCCCGGTCGTATGTATGTGCGAATGAGCACAACAATATTTTAATTGTATTAAGTATATATATATATATTAATTGTGTAGATATATTAATTATTAGGTAATATACTAACGATAGTAAGGAGTATTTCTCATTTCTTCTTCTGTCCTGGCTTTCCATTCTGATTCTGCTCGTTGCTAAAATATATTAAAATATTTTCTTTTGAAAGCACTATAAAAGCCTGTAGGTTTTACAAACTGATAAGAAATATAGCATATGTGAAACAATGTAAATCTGGTATGAATCGATCTAGACAAGATAAATATAGGAGTCAAAAATAGAAGCCAAAAAATTAAGTTGAAAATGTTCTACTTAAGATCCTTGTTCTTGCAGACATTTGTCAAAACATTATTTTTAAGTCTATCTATGATTTGTTGACTTGCGTATATATATATATATATGTATCTATATTTCTTGCTCCTGTCTCTTATCTAATCTTAAACCACTTCAAGAAACTCTGTGTCATGCAAAAAACATTTTACAGAAATAAATATATTGAGTATAAATTTACATCTGGTGGAAGTGGTACAGTGCTTCCCAATGCACTATTGACTGTTTGCTGAGGACTACGTGCATATGCAGGAGGAGGAGCTTCTTGATTAGTAGGTTGAAGTGTTGCTGGCTGTTGCGTTGCACCAACTCCACCATAGATGGGTGGGTTTAACGCTCCTCTAACTTGTGTAGTTCCTTGTGTGCCTTGCTCAGCAAAAGGATTATAATCTTCAAGACCTCTACTAGCTGGAGTAGAATTTACAGCTCTTCGTATTGCTGGATCCTATTATAGATATCAACATATCCATTCATTTTTGTTCTTTTGTCCTTTATCTTTCTATCTTCTTGCGTCTTTACATTGACATTGTTTATTCAATTATTATTTTCCTAATATTTTTCTTATCTTTAGATACTATATTATCAGTATCTTATGTAGTTTGTAGAATAGAAGATGATATACTCTGGTAAAGTACTACTGAACATGTAAATTTAGATCTTAAGATAAAATAAATGTTCAAGAATTAATTTAAAACAGAATTAAATAGAAAATTAAATAATACAGTAGGATATTTTATCGTGGTGACATTAAATATGTGTATGGAGTATGTCATTATATAAATATGGAATACAGATATAGTGATAGAAAAGATTCACACAACCGGACTTTATGATAAAGAAACCTATCATGTGTGACGACAGAAAAAGAAGAATGTTAATGCTGGCGGATATTTTTGCCGACATCAGAATGACACATCCAATAATCATTAATCGAGTTTCGTAGGCGTCGTTCATCAGCGCAAAGTCGCTCAATAGAATGTAATCAGTCCCCGATAGAACAAATTCGAACAAAGACACATAGTAAAGTGAAGCAATAAATTTTGACAGTTACACGAACAATATTGCAGCGCGAAGCTGTGCGTCCTTATCACTGTCATACACACGAGAAAATCGCTACTCACCGAAAAGGGATCGTTAATCGTAGGTTCCCCAAAGGGATTCTCGTCGAAACCGGACATCTCTCGTCCTCGTTCGTGCGTCAACGATACGTGGTCGAGTCGTTCGCTCTTCGTACGATTTTAATACACTCAATTAATCTTATCTAAAGCTGTCTAAACCTGACGACCCATAGTTTCGCCGTTACACACGGTAACGCCGTTACATCAGCCGTTAATCTCGAATGACGTCCATCACTACCTACCGAGAACTCTTCAGTTGCCTGTGCTGCGCAGTAGAGGCGAGAATTGTCGATGTCACTATCGATAACTATCGATAGTTCATTTTAAATTACCTGTAGTTTCTCTTTACCACACTTTGTTTTTAAAATAATAATTTATGACGAAATATTTTCAGTCGATTGATTAACAATTAGTATTGATGAATCTTATCTTCTCCAAATACCCGCACTGAAAAGTGCCTTATAGTGTTTTCGAGTGACACGGGTTTGTACTATTCCGGGAGCTATTCAGTTATGACAAATTAATAAAAAGGATGAAAAGGGATTAAATAAACAGATATAATTTTTTATTATTTTTTTTAATGATATAACTATTAAAAGCTATAGATGGGGTGGAATATTGATTGTTCTCTGCTTCTACTGCGCAAGCCACGTTATTGGTTCTTGCATACAGAACGCAATTACGCATGAATGCTTAGATGCGAAACCTCGAACTCGAGAGCGCGCAACTTCAAACGTGAGAGATGTCGAATCGAATGTTCAAATCTCTAGTCGTGCGCTGTCATGTATTTTCGTCGAGATAATGCTTGTGGCACTTTTTTCTTTCAAGAAATTTTCTGTGCGTTCTACTTTCGAGTTGTTTGTTAGGTATGATAAAATTGCTACGTCCGTAAGAGTTTGTAAGAATTCATTTAAATTACGAATTCCATCTTCAAACCAAGATATCGAGAAAGACAATCGCTGAGCGATTGTCGTGCATTAACGCGTTTCCGCCAAAATTCAACAGCGAGTGAAGTAAACAATTCTTCATTGTTCACACAAAAATTTGCTCTATATGACAAAATAATTATGCGTCATCAAGTCATTCTGTAGAATAAAGGATAAAATAACAAATGTAATAATCAAATACTCAATGCTTTCAAGCTTTATATATAAATTTCGCTTTGTTACTTAACAAACTCTTAACTTTAACAAATAATGTTAGTTGCAGCAAAGGGACATATTGTCTATTTGTAACTTGAAGCTGTAAATTATTATTATTATTATTATTATTTATTATTATTTATCAGCAATCAATTTTATTTACAAAGATTGATTCAAACTTGACGAATAATATATACGTACACAAATATATAGATCCCGCGCCAAAAAATAGCGGATTTTGATATACCTCGTGTGTGAAATTTGAAATTTGCGATATGCAATGTCATATTTGAAATTTCATCTTTATAAGCACCTAAAATAACATATGCTAATTACATATATATATATATATATATAGAAATTCTGTGATAGAGCTTACCATGCTGACGCAGGCGCAGCCCTTGCGATTCAACGATAGATAAAGCGACGTTATGGCGGTGGAACTGCCAGTCGCTATGCGCTTACCTTAGTGCGTTAACTGTTTTTTTAAATCGCCAAGACCGTACGTTAAACCCACGTCGCGTGCAGTCGAGTCCTCGTGCGCGGTTTAACTACCGATGAACGAGTGCGATTAATAAAAACGATCACTATTTTTATACATGGCTATGAGATGGATGAAAAGCGCGTAAACATTTTCGCGAATGTACGTATCGTCGAGCGTTTGCAGATCGGCAAATCTTTCCACTCAAGTCGTTATGAAAACTCCATTGTCCTCCTTACATTATTATTTCTAATTTCGTACGCAAATATATCGCAGCTTTCTATTACACGCTGTCGTAATGTGCATCCGGAAGAGTAACACGTCGACTCGCAACGGTCGTTAGAGCTAAAATGAATAATGCAATGAAAGTACGATGGACTATGACTGTCTAGGACTATTTCTGTAAATTATGAAATTGCAGTAGAACTCGTAATTTCTCCTTTATCATAGCCTCAAGAGACTTGCCTCAAAGTAAATCGCAAGCGTCGTTGCTACTGTTTGATCTCGTTTGATCGTAGAATGGATATAAGTTCGTTAATTCCGGCGGGACTTCAAGGCGGGCAGACGAATGTGTGCGAGATACAGGCGGGATACAACAAGTTCTCGGAGAATTTGCGAAGGTTCACACCGCAGGCTATACAGTGCGCTATATTTTGCGGCGGATCCAAATGCAAGTATGAGAATTCAAAAGCTTGGCCGCCCGTTCACATGGCGATACAGAACATCTTTTCGCACTGGTGAGCATTACCGCGCCGTTTATTGAGACCTCAATAAGACGACGAGAAGGAACAGATACAACGACAAAAATATCATTAATATAAACGATAGACACAATAATGAAATATTACCAACACGCGAGCAAAGATCTCTATTGTTGAATATCTCTAAAATTTAAATACCTCTTGTTGTGATTTCAAGATTTCGTCGGTAACGCCGATCACGTTTAGAACACAAAACTAGCGCAACTTGGAATTGTAGGCGGCATCAGTCATTCATACACACATTCAATTAATTATCGCTTATGCGCAATGGCATTATTATTACCAAATTATTGCTAAGTATGTACTCACTGAATTATATACGCAGTGTGTCTTGAATTATTATTCAATATAATACAGTTCCGCAATATTTACAACATAGCCGATCGTTTATGTCGAATTGAGGGAAACGCGTTATATATAAGCGAGCTATCTGTCTTTCTTCTATTGACATCCTGTCTTGAAGCGTCGCTCGATTGCTACAACGTCGAAGACTTATTTAGATCAGATGCATACGAGCATTAACATATGCCTCGTCGCATCGCGATATAAATAACTAACGTGAGAGTTAAATCGAATTAGCATTGTCCGTCCGTCGATGTGAGCCGGCTTCGCGATTTAAAGGGCTCGAGCATTTAAATATTTCAGGGTGACTGACGATGTCCTTGCGATGGCACGACCTAGCACCGCGCAAATAATAAAGAAGGATATAATTGCCCAATTCCAAGGGTGGAGCATAAAAACCATAATAAACCTGCAAACATCCGGTGAACACGCGAGCTGTGGGGGACCACTCGAAGAGAGCGGTTTCACATACGACCCGAACATTTTTATGAAAAATGGCAGTAGGTATTAAACGCTTAAACCAATAATTTACCAACGATGCTTGTTAAGCCGTTGTTAATTGTTGCCGTTGAGATCCCTGAATTGTCTCGCTCATTTTTCTGCCGAGATTAATCTCGCGAAATTTTAATTCTGATTTTCGAAATCACCTTTCGAGAATAAAAGTGAGTCAGAGGGTGTGAAAAATTTATGACTCGCAAGTTTCAAATTGCAGAACAAACCTATTCTTTGCGTCAAATTATGCATATATAAGATATGTCCTGTGTGGTTGTACGCGGTGACAATGACTTACGTTATTTTATGAAAGATCAACTTTCTTGTCCTTTCGATCCTTGTGCTGCTTTAGAATAATATTCCTTACATTCTTCCGAAACATACAAAGTGGCGCGTAAATATATCAGTCTTTTCATCAAAAAGATGTAAATATATTATCACCGATCGCGTTACGACTTGACGAACGTTGCAAATGACGCAAACGATTACACAAAGTGCAAAGTGCTACTTGTATGTAAGTCGGCCTGTCCTTATTTGCGTTTTGCAGTCATAGCGCAATATGCAAAATGCGCGATGACGACAGAGATCTCGATAAAACAGCAAAAAATTTCGCTTTCGAGCCAGTAAAGGTTGTGATGGCGACAGGCGTGGAGGGGGGGAGGGATGGGGAAGGTTCGTCCTTGTTAAAACGAATGTGTAGAACAGCGTGGAAGCGTCTCTCCCCCAATCCTAACAACCACCGGCTAGATCGAAGAGCTTCGCTGTAACATGCAATGCAGCAAAAGCATATATCTATATACGGAGGAGCAAAAGTCTCCAAGTAACAACGGTTGTTGCGGCTCGCCCCGTTGTTGCCGCAGCAACATTCGGGCTGTCCCAATTTGCGCCGACCCTCCTGAATTTGTTGCAGTTTACTATTACAATTTTGCCCTGAAGGATTACGGTGACGCCACGATGGGCAAGCTTCTGGATATGGTCAAGGTCGTGGCCTTCGCCGTGCAAGAAGGAAGAGTAGCGATTCACTGTCATGCCGGTAAATCGATTTTTCACACTTGACCCAATTGCATCCCTCCGCAGCTGTCATGGCTTTTCGAATGCATGGCCGTGTCAGATGGGCATGCATGCATGCATTAATAAAAATCGTATCGCCATATTGTTTCGTTCGACGATTCGAGTTCTATATCTTTGCGCACCAATCGAGATCCTTTTTCTCTTTTTGCCTCTCTTAGACGGATTTCTCATATATGTATAATTCTGTCCGCTCACGCTGTATTCTGACATGTGCGTCAAAGTCTCGTTCACACGGGGATAGTTTATGCGCTCTGTCAATGCTATCTGCTCTGTCAATGATCCGTAAGCTTTAAATGTATCGATCTGAGCAACGCGCGTTTATCGTGCGCGATATTACCGCGGTGCATTGCGTGCATACAAAGTCGGCTAATGCACGTGTGCATCGTGCTTCCGAATCTTTACGCCATGCACGCGAGTAACTTTCATCAAATACTAAGAGCGGAAAATAGGGAAATCAATTAACAATCCATGGCCGCGACGTGTTAATTTACAGTCGTATTTATAGCTTGCCATATATGCTTAGCGTTCAGTGGATTGCTTTCATCGGTATTTGTCTTTGAAATAAGTAACACCGAAATGAATAATATATGAAAGAAACTAAACAATATATATGTATATATATATATATATGTATATATTCGAGATTATCTTAAACGGATTCGGGGTTCACTGCTGTATAATTCTGTAGATGATTATTTAATTGGCGAAAAGCGTGATTATCGACTATAAACTAGTTATTTCAACTTCATTTAATATAATTTATTATCGTCACAGACAGGTGCCGTGCCAGGTAATTTTCATTTCGTTAAAGTACAAAATACGGGCGGAACGGATAAGAGATCTCGAGCGTGACGACATTTATTTTTATACCCGCATGTTTGTGTTTACGTATAAATGATGCATATGCGTCATCCTATCGGGGGAGGAGATATCCATTTCTATATTTATTTCCTACACAGAAGTACACCTGAATGTAACCGGCAATTTCTTTGCGTCCTAAAGTTTTGGTCAGTCGTGTCAGATTAGCCGTTTCGTTTCATTACGTATAAAAAGTGACCGATTATTATCTCGATGAAATTACCTGCTATTAAATAATTTTCGTTAAACCAACAAGTTTGAAACGATGCGTGTTCTTGAGCAACTTAATTCTGGCGCAGTACAAATACGCGCCTTAAAATGACATATCCTGAAGAATTCAACAGCTTAGTTGTGTAGAGCGAGTTGTGAAGTGCGAAAGCTATGAACTTTGTAGACATTATCGAACATATTCGGACGGTAAATTTTACTGTAGAACAAGCCTATTATTATTCAGAGTAGTGTTTAAAGATATGTAGGGTAAGCGTTCGGATGGATCGATCGGTTCCTCCGTAACGGTTGCTTCGAGACTACGAGGCGACTTCATAGTCACAAAAATTACTGGTCTACGTCCACAGGAAGGTTCATGTGGGAAACAATCGCGTTAAAACTCACCCCGCTGAACTATCGAGTTGTACATATTTTTTAATCATGTTCACACACAAGTGTCTTCGATAGCCGCGAGACTTTCGTGATGTGTAATTTAATTTGAGTCTAGCGCATTCAGAGCGTCCGCGATTACTTGCACGTTTTGAAAATCAGAATTAATGAGATCAAATTTATGCTATCGGTGGAATTAGACACTAGGAGAACATAACGATCGCGCTCTTAACTTAAATTGTAGGAAACTTAAATTGTAGGATTTATTCCGTACCGACGTGGTGGTGTGTTATCACGATCGACTGAATTGACTAGAATTCCGCAAGTTCAGAAATGTCTTGTGTGCATGCTACGCGAATTAATTACAGAGAGAAGAAATATGGCACTTTAACATTTTTACGTCAATCAGCTGGTCGATCCAGCAAATCGCGATAACATCTGAGAAACTTGTCACCGGATATCTCTGAGCGCACGTTTCGCCTCCTCCTTCCCTGTCACTTTATAAATTAAGTGCAACCGCAATTCATATTTTTGTTCCCGATTACTACGCATTCATCAACCTGTAGAATGACGTAACGATGTTTAATTGTCATCACCGCTATCTAACTGCTGGTATCTTCTCTATTTTCAGAATCTAAAGCGCGCATAATAATGCCTTCGCTTACGCTCTCGGCGGGCTTTTATTTCATCAATATCGTCTTAGATCTAGACGCGTAATCTAGAATTAGAATCGCTTCCCTTTGTTCCCTAGAAAAAGATTAACGAACGCTGCTAAGGAACGATTCAATGGCGTTGTTAGAAGTAATTAAATGAGATCTATCGTTCCACTACATATGTAGGCTGTAATTTTAGAAAACCACTGAATTTCGTCGTTAATGCAAGGAACGCTACACTTCTTTTTCAGGTCTCGGCAGAACCGGCGTCCTGATCGCGTGCTACCTTATTTACAGTCTTCGTGTGAGAGCAAACGACGCGATAAGATTTGTCCGTATGAAACGGCCGTCTGCCATACAGACGCGCGGGCAAATACTTTGTATCCAGGAATTCGAGCACTTTGTACTTCCGCAGATGATAGTATTCCCTTTACACAGTACAACCGGGGATCGCAAGCCCTACAGCCTTCAATCGTACCTGAGGAAGCAACACAATGTCTTACACGGATATGAGCAGCGCACTTTCAAGCATATTCCAAAGGTGCGTATTCCAAAGAGTGTGTATTTTGTGTTTCTTGCTGTTCAATTAGTTGCTCCTCGTATCCTTAATTATTTAATATCTCTGTACTCGAGCAACATTAAAACCTTGTCCAAGCGTTGCCCGAGAGAACGATAAGCATTTACGCGTAATCTTGGATTTTTCGTTTTAACATTCAGGTTTCACTGCTTCGGATATTAATTAATTGTACGCCTATTCCTCAGATTGTATTTATCATTTGCGAGCGAATACTCCAGCTCTGCGACTGTCAGGAAGACAATTCGCCGTCCGAAATTATATACGGCGTCTCCAATGTGCCTTTCACGCAAAGATTCATTTGTCATGTGTTGGAGAAATTCCGTGACGGCAAGGGTAACATACGGCACTCCTACTCGTGGGCGGAATCCCTCGCGGATTCGTCCTACGAATATTCAAGTGAGAAGCATTACTACGCTCTTTTACTAATGAAGCAATGTTATCATACTCAATTAAGCGCGTCCTCTATTCCCGGAATTATTCAAGTCCCATCTTTCATCAAAGCTCAACGGGCACGACGTATCCTCTGTCTCTCTCTCTCTCTCTCTCTCTCTCTCTCTCTCTCTCTCTCTTTTTCTCTCTCTCTTTCCCGTCTCTGTCCTTCACGAAAATATTTCTCTGTCGGTTTAAATATATCAACAGGACATAATTAAATTGAATGAAGTTAATGCGCGAAATTGAATCGAGTTATTTTATCGATTTCAAAGCTCGCGTCTGAACATGTTGAGGAGATTCACTCGAGTATATTCCAAGACACCGTATTTACCAAACAGTTGTATGTTGTAGCTTCCACGAAAGCCTGCGGTAGTAGTAGTCAAGGATCGTCCCGAGACATTTCCGATGATATAGGAAGATTGAGCGACGTGTTTTGCATGTCACCGGATACCCCTTCTTGCGACTCCACGTTTCCAGGTATTACTATTGACAAACTCGGACGGTGGTAGCACATCTTTCATTCTGTATCGATTCCGATGCTATTTCGCCATGATAAAACGCGTAGATATATGATAAGCGCGTAACAGCAGGATTTTATATCGCGACAGGTCTAGATGACAGCTGCGTCGACGATGTCTTAGGGGATGGTATTCACGATCAGGATTTACTCGATAATGATTGTTACAAGGAAATTCAATCGCACATGGACTTGAGGAGCGTCGCCCGTAATGAAGCTTACGAAACGGTGACCGCCGAGGAAGCTATAAAAGCGCTCATTAAAGATAGTACTTCTCTTTCGGAGACTATCAAGAAACGTCTGCAGGAATATCAGGTAATTTCCACGTATATATGCAAAAGAGCAGTCTGATAGATACCGCGATCATTTGGAGTATATCCGTGGAATAATGACATTGTATTGAGCGTTTAATCGCCTCAACCTCCCTCCCCCCCTCCCGTAGTTGTATCTCTAGATCGTGAAGTATCTCTAGAATCGTGAATAGTAAATCGGACGTCATTTATAATATGGCCTGTAATAGGAAATGATGAGCCAATTTCAAGATTGCGTATGTTATTATGTAGACATAGACACTCATTATTTTTGAGATCGTTATAAAGTCATGACCGAGTTATTAGTGCTAGCTGTATCTAAAACAGTTCACCGATCGTCTCATCGAGTTACTCGCGCAATTGTAATAATTGTTTTATTATTATATTGCATAATTTAATAATGTAACGTAGTAAATTATGTGATGATACAGGACGAGATAATCTTTTTATAAACAGTGTTTCAGAAAATGTGGAAACATGTGTATTTTCAGAGCGACTTGAACCATCGATGTACCGCTTGGCAGCGTTTGGAATTGGAAACCAATCTGGAAATCTTGTCGGCTCTGCTGTTCGAGTGGCTGGAGAGTCTCAAGCACCCGCTTCTTGACGTTGATAGCCTCAGTTACATCGTTGTATGGAGTTCAAAGCCGCAGCGGTGCCTTGGAAAATTGTCCGTCTGCACGAGATACATATTCGAGTACCTCTTGCGATTTGTCACTCGCCTGAGACCGGTGACAGCTGAAAGTCAGAGCTTAATCACTAAGAGGCTCATGGCAGCGTTAACACAGCAAACTATCTGGATCAAAAACTCCTTTTATCCTCCGAGTATATATTTTTCAACTTTATGGTTATCAATACAATGACGTAGTATAGCGGACATTCTGCGTATATCGCACAATGTCTTTGCACTGTTCTTTGCACGCGTGTATTGTGACAGAGTCAACAGACAAGACGTTCGCAACGCAACCTTGAAGAATAACATTTGGTTTTTGAGATGTTTGGAGGCACTTTGCATAATCGCAGCATTCGACTCTATCTGTCGGCTCTATACCATGTCCGCGTCATGTCGCGATCCCCAGAAATATTGATTTGCACCACAGTCCACTTTTGTCCTATTTATATTTCAGCATCAATAATCATAATTTCTTCATGACAGTAAAGGACACAGACTCATAGGCACTCAGTCGTTGTAATATCGAACCGTTCGACCCGAATATAGAAATAATATGGCGGCTTCCTAACATCAGTAAAACTTGCATTCCAGATAAACATTTCCAGAAGCTGCGAAAAGGCACTGCTGGGAAGCTCAACGAATTCTTCATTCGTTTGATGAACTTGATAGAGGAGGTCAACACCCAGGAAGTGGACAAGCCTCCATGGGTGTCTAAATGGGAATTATTGTCCAGTCATTTGCGAGATATGGAATGTCAGAAAAACAACGAGCAGGAGTGAAGAATTTAATAAATTTATCATTCTGACAGGTTTTCTCCTAATTGCCAACGATATAGATACGCCCTTAGTTTTTTGCTTAATCAGGTATGGATTATAATAAATAACTGGTGAACTGCAAATTTTTTTCGCCAAGTATATTAATGACTTTCGTTAACGTTGTGAAAAATCTCTTACCTGTAATAACAGCCGCAGGTAACCGTGTGAGTAGGACGCGACTCTGTGGATTTACGAGATGTAACGCAACGAAACATGGATACGTGGATAATATTTTTGTTACTGTAAATCTCGTATTAATAGAGTAAATTATCGTTGCTCTGATCGCAACAAATTGAAAATTGCGCACTTTGACGAACTATCTGTAATTGAGCACTTTCTGTTATCAATCTTTCGATCGATAACATTAGAAGAACCGACTTCCAATGTTAGGAACGACTATATGGGTACTTAAGATCGCTTTATTTAAGATTTATGTATTATAGTACATATTTGAATTTAGCTTTGATCGAGATCCAAATGTTAAATGAGAGATTACGATCATTGATATTTATTTTTACAATGAGATACAAGCGCGGCTCGACTTTTGAGTCGAGTATCAACATAATTAATAATAATATATACATTATAAGTGACAATTATGTAAACAATTGTAACAAATAAAGGGAAATATTTTAGCAGTAACAGCACGTACCGATAGAATGGCTGCCTCTCGTGAGAAAAACCAAAGTTAAATCAATATATTTCGAAAAATTCGTAAGAAGCAACAATTTAAAATAGATATATCAATGATAACGACACTATAAATGTAATTACGTAGAAATATAATAGACTATCAACAAACGGTAGTTATGTTTGTAATCAAATGTGGAAATTCACCATATTATCCGTTGTTGGATGGAATTATTCCGACGGAGGATAATGCACTTATTTCAAGATCCATAATTTAATAAATATTTTATAATACATTTCATCGCACTTATCATACTGCATGAATCACAGCAGGTGAAGTAATATGATTCACACTTATATTTTATTCAATATTCATTATACGGTATATAGTTGATTGATTTTTGGGGCTCGATAATTCAGTGCGCACACGAGCTAAATTTTAGACAAATGAGATTAATGTTAATGTTCTGAAATTGCTACTCTCTCCGAACCAAAATGACAGTTCTGTGCGCCGCAGAGCTATAATGTTAGTCTAACGATATTTGATGAGAAAAAAAGAGAAAAAAAAACGAAACAAATATTCGCTGCAAGTCGCATCGTCTTTTTCTCCTCTGAGTTCTTTCATTCTTCCTCATCTTTTCAAGTGGTCATTTTTAGCGTTAAATACACCGTACGATACAGACTTTTCGCACATATAAAATGATTTTTCACGTTGTCTTCTATATATAAAATATACGTTGAAAAAGATTCAAGTTCGAAACACTTAATCAAAATGTATGCAAAGAGATTACTTCATAGAGTTAGATGTTTTGTGTCTGACGAGTAATATAAAGAAATAGATAATTAAAAAATAATAATAAGTTACGAGAGGTGTTTAGGATCCCTTTATTAAATGCGTTAACAGGGAACTTGAGAACAGAATTCTTAAAGAGCTTAAAGTTCTCGTGTTTTGTATGTCGCAGTTTTATTAAGTATATATTCTTTCAAGATAATTCTATCATATCTAAGATCTTAACACTAACGCTTAACTCGAACTAGAAAATGCGATTCCGTAAATTCTCTATTTACAGTATGATATAAGTGTGTTCCTGCGACCTAGACATATATTCCCTAGATACATTAATTTACGTATATAAATCTCGATACGTCTAACAGGATTATCAAGCATTATACAAACGATGTCAGTCTTATACAAAGAAAGTACGGTGAAAATTATAATTCATCGGTACTTACAATTATGACTTAATCAGCTACTTCTACGCTCCGTAGTTACCATTCTCGACGCATAGAACGGAGGTTGATAAGAACAGTTGAAGAGAAATCGTGTGCGGTTTTTCTTTCAGTAACATATTTAATTTCTTAGTAAAATCGGTACATTTTTACAAGGCAACTTATCGTACAAATACTTAACAAAGTAATTCAGACAATAAACGTTTCAGAAGAGAATGATTTTCAACTTATGCCGGCGGTCTCCTATTCGATCGATTATACGGTCACCCTTTGCTTTTTGTTCCTTCACGACAGCTCGAATCGCGATAACAACTCCCTTGTTCTTTTTCCTTACGGGTTTATCAGTGATTAAGAAAGAAAAGCAAACAGGAAGCTAGGTAATGCAGACAAATTATCATTAACGTTGCTCGACTGGCAGATTATACATATATTACTTTACGTTAAAACCGTATTTATTTAAACATCTTTGTAACATGTTTGATTTGCTTGCAAGGGAATGCTTCATTTGATGAGAATCGTTACGATGTGTCGCATACACGCTCGTAAGAATGTTGAATGGAACGCGATGAAAATTTGTGATACTTGAACATGTCCATTTCGATCACAGCTATACGGTATATCGAAATTGCTATTCAGACGTTAATCAATACATAATAACATGCTTATTCCACAAAATATGATGAACTGTCAGAGATTTATTCTCTCGGCGCACCTTATTGGAGTTCTTTTTTTCTTTCTAACAGTTTCATACGAAAAATGACAAAATTTGACAGAAATTCGTCCAAGTTTCCTCCAGGATCCGCACGATCGTTCTATCCGCCCCTATCTGGTTCTCTTTTATTAAATAAATAAACGTTAGCGTCGATTTTTGGCACTGTTCATGTTGGACGCTTCGATCTATCTGATATGATTGCACATAACCGCCATCACTTTCCTTTTTTTTTTTTTATATAGAGCAAAATAATAAAACGTTCACAGGTAAATATACATCAGGAATCGTGATCGATTATCGAATTCGTTATCGGCAATTACGTTCGAGCATTCTGCAACGTTCTATAGGATACAATTGAAAGCTATAATTCCTGCGGTATCGTGCGTGTGAGCACGATAATAATGAAACAATTGTTCACTCGAATGTGCATTGATTGATCGCAACGCCCGCGCGCACATAGATCCAACAAACATAACAAGAGGGAAACATTTATAACGTAACATCAATGACTGTAACACTGTCGCGTACACCCAAATACAAATACGTACAAAAAAAGAAGAGGAAACTAAAGAAGGAAAGAAAGATAGAAAAGGAAAGAAAACAAAAGACTGAGAAGTCAATGTGTCGCGCAAACCCGCTGAAATCCGTCAAGCGACGAGGCGCTCGATCGATCAGTGTTAACCAATTGTTAATTAATCATCCAGTCGACAGGTCCGGCTTTCTTACGCTGCGACGTGACGAACGTTCACCCGGCAAAAACGAGAAAGCGTCTCTCTTCTTCCGTCGAGTTATTCTCCCGCGAGAACTTCCGCGTCGAAATTAAATACGAATGGGACACCACCACGGGTAACGTACGCGCGTGCATCCACATACACAATTACATTCATGCACAAACATGCACACAAGCCGCGATATCGGCGGATTCGTCCGTTTCGCGAATGACGTATGCGCAAATCCCTAATGCCTCGATGAGTTTAATTATTTACAGGGGGAGTCTTCTATGTTATGTCAAGTCCTTAATCCATTATACATAATACATATAGACTTAGATTATTAATAGTACCATACGCGAAAGCGAGCCCAAACGGCACTGAACCCCGCAAATTTCATCAGTGAACGATTACGGCACTCTCGCACGCACGCATACACATATCACGTACACAACACTCGCGCACGCACACGCACACGCACACGCGCCCACACGCGCACACACACACACACTCTCTCTCTCTCTCTCTCTCTCTCTCTCTCTCTCTCTCTCTCACTCGTTACGTTTTCCTGTCTAACTCTGTCTTCCTATCCGTGTGATTTAATTATTTCTTAACCCCGCAGGCTTCTCACGCTCGGGACAAGTGCATGCGAATATCTGTTTCGTGGTTTAAATTATCTAGCGATGGCTGCACAAATTCTCGTCAAACTTCAACGCAGATATATATGCCGTTTCGTTAATTAAACTCGCGCCGCGGTTGGCTTGAAACCTCCAAGCAAAAGTATCATTTGATTTGCCGATGCTTTGCTCGATCGACACGACGCCGTTATTCGATGAAAACAGCAACAATTGNGCACTTGAGATACAAACGAATATTTCCTTATTACTTGAAGAATGCCAAAGGAACAACCTGTGCGTGTGGCCAAATCGAAGCTGTTATATCAGTATACCAAAAGATTATAACCCGCGTCTTTGGTGAGAGAGACATTGCACAGACCGTCTATGGAAAGATAGGCTGAAATTAGATTTGCAAGCCCAGTTTCTAAACTCGTTTCTCGATCATCGACAGTTTCGAGAGGTGCAAAGCTCGCAGTATTTGTATCGTGATGATGATGATCGCGTCTCCTCGTTTTTCATCTCCACCGACCGCTGTGCGGGAAAGACACACGCGCAACTAAACAAGTTCTTCCAAATTTCCAAGCCCGCGCGACGAACGCTCATCATTAAATACGCACGAAAAGACACAGACGCCTCGAGAAATTTGGAACTGTTCGTGTCATCGGCGGACCAAGGTATCGAACAGTTTAAACAGTTTAATCCGTCGTACCGATATGAGCGCGCTTCCCATACTTCAGTTTCGGGAGTCCGAGACTACGCATTTTTTTTAGAAGAAACCTACTGGCTTCGCGATTGGTGTGCATATAGTAGGACTAGGACTGGACGCGGGATGGGGAGAGAGTTTGTCGGCAGGGGCATTCGACATCTAATTCCTTATAATTTCAATACGTATACGTATTAATATATGTGTATATGCATACATAGTACTTTAATTTATTTATAGACTTCGTTCGCCAGAGAAGAGTAGGGAGATCATTAACGTGATATCTTGCCTTATCCGACATTCCGTTCGGTGCATAATCCGACAGCGTGGTGCATGTGGTCGCCTGTGATCTATCTCGTTGGAGAAACATTGATATACAATAGACTTAGCAACCAAGAACGATTCGTAACGCATTATGTCCCTTAATTACATATATATATATATATATATATGTATATGTATATATAATTAAATATAGTGGTCTTACTATACTCGTCACGTATCACAGAAGGAGAGAGAAGTGCTATTAACTATAATATAATCTTCTTGAACGCGTAATACCTAACAACTCGAAATTTTTAATGTTAATCGCCCAAAACGTTGAAATACTAGCTTTCAATGCGTTGGAACTTGAAAAGCACCATTTCGCCACGGTACTGAGTCTATCCTATACCTCAGGGGTGAGGAGGATGAAGTCTAATATTATACAAAAAAGAAAAAGACCAAAAAAAGGAATAAAAAAAGGAGAAGAAGAAGAAGAAGAAGAAGAAGAAGAAGAAGAATTGCAACTCGATAACGTTTCTATCTGCCGCGTGCGCGCGCGCATGTGTGTATGTGTGTGTGTTGTGTGTTCTTCTTTTTGTCTATACGTGTTTGATAGTCATGTATGTATAAAAACGTCGCGTTAGCGATCTTCCCACTTATCTCCGCTCGTAACATTCGTTCGAGTATCTTCGATGGTCTCGCAGCTATCGTATCGTCTGCTATCGTATCGTCCTGCAACGCGGATTCCTGACTCCCGCTCGACTGGAAAGAAATTTAAAGGATCGTCGCGCACGCATCGTGCCGCAGCGCTCATTTACAAATATCGACCGCCTCGGTTCGACCGTTAATAATCGTTTAATGAATACGAAACTACTTACGACCATAACTTCGCCAGACTATACAGTGCTACGAACAGTAGCGGACGGGTACGCCGGGACGCATCCGGTCTCGTCACGGATGCGATTCTTAGTTTAACTGTCTGATACTGGGCCCCCCTTACGAAGGGTAAAGCCCGCTTAATCGCGAGAATAACACATTGCTCTTCGTTCGCCGGGCGAACCTTAAGTCTAAACTCAGTCGCTCCCGTACGTACCCACCACCACCACCACCACCACCACCACCACCATCATCACGGCTTCATCGATTTATTTCCTAGATTCAATCCCGCCGGACTGTCCGTTCGACTCGCCTCTCTGGTGGAACCGCGCGATGCTCCCTGGCGATTTGCATTCTTTATCGACAATCGAAATCCGCACTCATCATGTCACGTTTTTCGCGAATTTACGTAAATTCTTCCACGAGTTCTTCAACCACTCATTCGCAGTCCGAATAACAGCTTTGTTGCAATTTATGCAAATGAAGCATGAAAGTACTATCATTAACAAACTGTGGTACCGATCGTGTTGATGCAATGTGCTTCTTAAAGTTTTCTCGCTTTTGTAACAAGTTTTGCAAGGTAAACGTCCCAATGGGCTGAACATCTAGCGGCGCAAGACTGCTTGATTTTTTACAAGATTTTACACACACTGGTCGGGGCGACTGTTGAATCAAATCCGCCTAATCTGTGGTCGTACTGATGCAATTTTGTAATAACGCACGCACTGCAAAAGTGAACCGGTAAAAATTTATCGAAATTAAACAGTTAATATTATAATAGAAACATCCGAGATTAATAACAAATTCACGTCCGGTTGCAGAGACACGTGTCCGGCGATCGTTACTTTCGCCTGAGCACAAGTGATATTTCAATTGAAGCAGAATTATACGTTGTTGAACGTTGGTATCGGATAACCTCCTAACCTCAACGTGAGGAGGGCTTCGAAAAAGCCTCGAATGCTCCACCGGCGCATTCGGATCTCATTTGTGTGCGTGTATTCATCGCGGAATGAATATGATGACGAAGCCGCGTCGGTTCCTCCAGCGAAGGCTACATACTCTTCTCGTTTCCCGAGGGGGCGCCCGAGGGGGGCGCGCTGACCGCAGAGCGCGCCGCGCACGCGACGCCCCACCGTCGTCACATTAATTTCTAATGCAATGTACACAAGAGAGAGAGATATATGTATATGTATATATTTATGTATATGTCTATAGATATAGCCGCGGCTCCAGAACGGAAAGATCGAAAGGAAAATAAAATACATCGTTGTTCGCAATTGCTTGAGTAAGGATATGGATCGAAGGATCGCTTCCGAATATCGCCGAGACGCCGGCGCCTCCGGCGCCGAACGTCCAGACGCTGAGACCATTCTCCGGTGTTTTGCTTGTCTCTCACCAACTTGTGTCCTTTTTTCCTTTTATCTTTCCTTTTATCCTTCCTTCCTTCCTCTCTTCCCTTTTCTTTCTTTCTTTCTTTCACTCATTTGGTTGCTTCTGTTCGTTACCTTAAAGCCGCAATTGGCGCGTCGCGGCACAGATATGATGTGTTGAGGGGGTTTCGTACGAAGGAGGAGTGGAGGGGGTGGGTGGTCCTGAGGGCCTTCGTCGTCCTCTTCGACTGTCTAACCTTTAAGTCTCCGTTCGACTTTCTCTCCTCTTCTTCCTCTCCGCTCTTTCTCTCTCTCTCTCTCTCTCTCTCTCTCTCTCTCTCTCTCTCTCCCTCTCTCTCTCTCGTCTCTGCTCTACCTGGCCTACGTGTAGTAGAGGGCTCCTCTCTTTGCGTGACCGAGCAAACGGTACACCTTGTATACATCTTGGCGTTTAGTGGCTGGCCGCGAAGCGATACTACGCCTCGACCTGATCCTCCGGGATCATTATGTCGGGCGCCATCGACAGGTCCTCCGCTATGTCCTCGTCCTGGCCGGAGTCGTGGCCGTGGCTCTCCGAGTATTCCCTCTCGTCCGCCTGATCCTCCTCCGTCTCCTGCTCCATGGGGCCGTCCGGCATCTCGCGCTTTATTAATCTCGCGTGCTTCCCTCCTTCCGGACTCTGGCTCTCTTGCTTTATGTGCACGGCCGGTTCATCCAGCGGCGACCTGTTGAATCGAGACGACACGCGCGATACGTGTTGTGTTGACGCCGAGTGGAAAACTTGCTGCGAACGCGCGCGCGCGCGCGCGCGCGCGTGCCGTGCCGCGTTGTGTTGGGATATGTTTCATAGAGCGCGGCGGCGGTATTTTTTTTAGCGACACGTCCTGCCGACGGGAGAATAACGATTTTGCTTTTCCAGGATTATCTCGCGGCGGTTTCAAGCGGTTTGTCAAGCTGCGACGGATAGTTTGTGTTTCGCGAAAGAGTGGCCGTTTTCTGTCTGTCTGTCTGTCTCTCTCTCTCTCTCTCTCTCTCTCTTTTCTTTCTTTTTTTTTCTCTCACGGTTTTCGTATCGTGCGGAACGAAGCCTGGAGAATGGATACGCGCCGCGCATAAACCGTGCACGTGCGCGAAAAACGCTGGGGGAAAGTAAAAATCTCACGACGCTGCCCGACGAACGAACGGGACTTTTCTCGTAAGAAATGGTCTTGTTTTTGAAGAATGATGTTTCGCAATTTGTTAAAACCAGGGCTACCTTGACAGAACGTTATCAAACTACTGAATTCGTTGTCCGAACTCGAGAATGAAATAAGAGGACTGTCTCGCACCGGCAATGTCGCTGTAAGACGTTTTTATGTTACGTTATTTGACGTTTCGGAAGTTTGTACGCAAGATGTGTGTCTGACACAATTATTACGCGGGTTCTATCGCGCTTGTGCAAATGCCACTTACATTAAGTCATTATGAGGTAACACATGCTCCTTATCGGGACTTGTCGCTGTCGACGTGCACATCGGATTGTTCAAAAATCCCATGTTAGACTCCCCGAGCGCCTGGAAATACTCAAATTGCATTAGACGGTTAGTTATCGTTGATTACATCGTGGAGTAATGAAATATTAATTATCAACTTAGCTTCTTTGTACATCAGGAATAGAAGGTGACGAGACATTGAGTGAAATTATTGTTATTTGCTATGAGTTATTGAAACACAGTGCTACACGTAACTTTGTTTCTATTTGCTTCGTTTTGTCGTTTACCACAATCGCGCGATTAAAGACAATTAATAATACGCGGAGGAAAATCGTAATACTTGATGAACTTTTCTACTTTAGAGATCAGTTGTTAATAGATACCTGCAAGTTGGCATTCAACGCGTCGCCGTACATAGTGGGACTGTGCGTTAGCGTCGGACTCTTCGACGGGACACCCCTAGATATTGACAGAGAAAAGCGTGTTAGTAATATTTCGAAGTTGGGCCACAAGCATGTATTTCCTGAAACAAAACGCGTGTACGAGTTCTTTTTTTAATTGTGTCGATGTTGGGACGAATCTGAGAAAGAAGGGGGAATAGAAGTGGGATATACATAATGTTTATGTGTCTGTGCGTGTACTCGAGTCGTAAATATGTAAACGTATAAAGATAAAAAGGGAAAAGAGAAAGAGACAGAGAGAAAGAGAGACAGAGAGAATATAGATAGAGACAGAGAGAGAGAGAGAGAGAGAGAGAGAAAGAGAGAGAGAGAGAGAGAGAGAGAGAGAGAGAGAGAACGAGAGAAAGAGGTGTAAAGTGGAGAGAAGAGAGACAGAGAGAATTATATAAAAATATGAAAAATGTATACATTTAAATATATCGAAAAAAGATTAAAAAGAGTGAACAAAGAGTTCGAAAACTCTTACCTACTTACACTGCTTCGTATCGCTTTTGCCCACCGCGCTCGTCTCATCGGTGATTGAGTGAGATTAGTCAAAAGTTATAGAAAAAGTATTAAAAAAAGCGCTCCTGTTTCGAAACTTTGCAAATAAAATCGTGTGTCGACTCTTGTGTTCTTTACAGTTTCTTTTTACTCTCGATGTATCTAGCACTTTATTAGTTTCGAAACAAATGTGTTACTTATAAACGGCCATCAGATTACCTGGGCTTACCTTCCACGTATTACCTCGTGATTTACTTAACCAAGTAAATCACGTACTTGAGTGGTATATCAAATAGAGACCAGATGTCCTTTTCTATGACGATTTGCGAAGAGTACACTTTTCGTAATGTTCTTTTCACAGGCAATCACCATTATACATTTACCCAGTCTCATTAGTGTACATTATCAGACATCTTGTTACAAGAGATTTAAAAGTGCATGCGAAGAAAAGGATAAGAAGAAAGATTTTCTATGGCCGATTATCAAGTAACGCTGAAAGGAGCGCTGTATAAAGAGAAAAATAGAAAAGGGTTAAGTGTGAAGAGATAGAGATAGAAAAGAGAGAGATTGATAGAGAAGTAAAGAAAGAGAGAGTGGGAGAGAGAGACAGAGAGAGAGAGAGAGAGAGAGAGAGAGAGAGAGAGAGAGAAGAGAAGAAAGAAGTGAAAGAGAGATTGAGTAAAAGTAGATAAAAGTTTAAGAGATATTAAAATTGAATAGTAGAGATTTCAAAAATTATCACTATTAAACATTAGATGGAGATTATTTAGTTCATATAGTACCTGATACAAGATGAATCGCGACGATGATCGGAGAATTCCACCCGAGATTACAGTTGTAGCACACAGTATACACAATTTACACATGCGCGATTAGCCCTGACGTACACACTCATTCAAATCAAAAAACCATTCGCTCATTGCGGAAGCAGATACAAGATCCTTTTGCGATTCTCAACTTAATCCAAAGTGTGTTCACTGCGTGCGGATCTTAAAACATTTTGAACCTTGGTGGAACTTTGAGCAAGCTCTGAGGAAGAATTTAGCAAAGTCAGTAAAGAGAGACAGTTTGCGACAGAAAGTCTTAGACTTCGGAGAAATTAATGATGATTACCGAAAGATTATCAATTCATGTACTAATCACACACATATTACAAAGTTGAATTGTAAAGTTGTGGAATCTTCAAGAATCTAATTCTCTCCGATAGACAACGTCCAATGTTGGCTGTTACCCAACTTTGGTACAGCACGTCAGCAGAGAATCGCACAGATTGCAAAAAGAAAAAACCGCATCCGGCAAAAATCGAAGAAACGGAACTTCCCTAAGGATGGTACACTATTACGTCACTCTGCAGGGCTAAGGGCGGAGGCGGAGGATTCAATGAAAAAAATGAACGAACGCAAAACAGGGTAAACGTCTATGAACGTCGTGGCGTACTAATGCTCAAAAGAATGGCAAAGTAATATCTCTGCTGTTACGAAGGAGCGGAACGAAGACTGAAACGGAAGCAAAACTTCAACACAAGAGAACGCTTGTCCGCACAAACACCCCACTTTCATACGAGATACTACGAACGGCATTATTACATTAAGCGCCATACATTTATAAGCAGTGTTTTTCAGTGGCGGGACTCAGTTTATGGGCCTCAATCGGGGAACGAATGTTAGGGACCAAGGTTCATGCGAGCAGTCACTAAACACGTTGGGGACCCTGCAGCTTTCACCAATCGTCCTGTTGTTGGGCTGTTATAGGATCGTGCAGGATCTTCAAGCTATCACGGGGTGCAAGAGCTTGGGCTACGGTACTAGTTACGTATACGGGAATATCCTATTAACTCTGCCTTGGACGTCATTTGCAAAAGTGTGCAAGATTTTTTTTTTTCGAAATATGAGATACTCCTACGCGGAAATATCGCACTTTCCTTCTTCAATGATGGATGATCCTGACCAGCCCGTAGCTAATTCCCCGTAGTTGAATTCCGCGAACGAAGAGGAGTGAATTCAAGTGAAAGCAAATCATAGCGCGAATTTTCTTCTTACTCCAGCGACATTTGTAATTGAGTAATCCTGAAGGCAATTATGTTCAAATTTACAAAGCTTGATGCTGCGATTGAATACATTAATCGAATACGATTTCCTCAGAAGATGCAACGACAGTCAGAGAGATGAGAGGAGAAAACTGTTGGAAATTTTCTCTTTTATTTGGTCCCCCGTGAAATTATTTACTGCGCGCGTGTTTCTCTTGCATTATAAAACTATAATTGAGAATAAATAAACGTGCGATCGAAAAATCAAATAACGTTGCACACTTCTGACAAATAAACGAGCAAAGTAATGGAGTGGTGCTACTGTCCAGTTTTTTAAGGAATCGGACTTCAAAGGCGCTCGAGGCAGGCATGATGCGGAAATCATTTCCAGGGGTATTGGATAAACTGCATTGAGCTATTTCCTGTTGCCCTGGCGCAATATATGTTCAATTGCAATATAATTTAGAAATGAAAGAAATTTTGCCGCAGTGATTCGTTAATGTTTTACAGCTGATTGTGTGAGATGTGACCATTTACACTAATTTAGATAATAAAAATATATATTTATATCGCATGTATCTATTCAGGTAATGATAATATATATTTATCGCATGTGTGTTGCAGCTGTTAATATAACAACGTTGAAATAAATATATATTTAAATATAACATTTAAATATAATATTCTATAATCCAAGTACATTGTGTGTATTTTTAGCGTTAAATTAAATGAAAACGTAACCTTACATATTTTTATCAAATTAAGTAATACAAAATGAATAAAATATCAACACAATATCAGATATTCTATGAAATATCTGTAAGTTTCTCTTTTTCTGGATTAGCTGCTATATATATTTATTACGTCTATTTATATCAGTCTATTTTGATGTCTGAAGTTCTAAAATGGAAGTTGTATCGTTCAATACAGAGACGAAACTCGATAATGATAAAATGATAAAGAAAAGGAGAGCAAAATGGGTTCGGACCTTTCTCTTTTACGCGATACTCTGCAGAACGTCCCGCACCGGCAACGTAAGATTGTAGTAACAGCTGCAATCGCGCACGCAGAAGCATACACAACTGGTACTGCTCTCCCAGAGGCAGCAGGTCGGATAGCTCATTTAGCGGTTCCATTTGTAGAACAACGACCAAGCGAAAACGTCCCGGTCGCCGCGTTTATAAAAAAGTACCGCGGTAAGGTCAGAACGTCGCGCCAGCCAGCCAGCAGAATTCTAAAAAGTGATAGTGCTTACTGTGCGGAGAGGTGGGGTGGAGTGGGTGATGGGGTTGGGTCATATTTCCTGGGGCGGCCGCGGGACAGATGCCGCCGCTTTACGAACTCGGCGTCGTCCACCATCCAGAATGACCCGAAGTCGTCCTCATAGCGCACAAAACACTTGTGCAATGATAGATTGGTGCGGATCGCGTTCTGTATACACAGACAAGACCACCAAGAAATAGAGAAAAAGAGAGTAAAAAAGACAAGGTTTCTTGTTTCGTAGTTGTTTCGCGCAGGTTGTTTCGCTTTTCTTTCGTTCTTTTCGTGTTTTTCTTTCTTTGTTTTTCTTTGCGCTCGGGCCCGCTCGCGCAGCAGCAGGTGCCTCATTACGTAAGCGCGCGCGCGCGCGCACGTGCTCGCGTTTACGTGAGACCCACGTGAGACGCACCAAAATAATCTCGCTGGCGCGTCTTGCCGACTGGGCTCCACCGTTCTCTCTCTCTCTCTCTCGCAGCCGGGACAATTTGAATGATCTCGGCACGATCGAAACGTCGACTTTTCGAGAGAACAAACAGCAGCACAGACTCGCAAAGAAGAGGGAGGGGCGGATAAAATGAAAGAAAATAAAACAGAGACGTAGTAATAAGACGTAGTAAAGGCGGCTCCTGTCAAACCTCTACCTGACAAAGTGCAACATTGCGGTTCTCACTCTGTTCCGGGCAATTCCGCTTCTGGCTTCCGGGTTTTCGAGACTAGACTTGAGCCAGATACTAGGCCTCGCCGTTCTCGATCGGGTTAGTCGCTGCAAAGCTGACATGCTCGTTATGAAAGCACACACGACGTACTACGGATTCCCATCTCCGAGCGGGATTAGCATTTCTAAACTCTCTTTCTATCTTTCTTTCTTTTTTTTTTTTCTTTCTCTTCCATTCATCTGTTGCGGCTCTTTCACCGGCGACGCACTCTCACGCACATCCACGCACCCACCAGACTGCCGACTACCATCATACACGACGACGGGCAAGTAAGATGTTCACACACACGCGGGCTCAAACACAGTGTTGACGGTAGTTTCTCGAGCATTGATTCATGGCATTAGCATGGAGAACTTTGGAATTTGGAAGTCGACGGTCTTACGATTAAAGGAACAATGTACCCGCAAGAGTGCGGGGCGCGATTCAAACTGTGACTCTCGGTCACGTGAATGATCAATTGTCGAATGCAGCGACACAGCGCTCTGTCGTCTCTCGAGAAACTGCAAGTTTAGCAGACAAACGTACAGACAGACCACACAAGCGACGTACAGTAAAAGTTGTTATGGCGTTTAGGTGTATAAAAAGGTTTATACACACACACAGATCTATACGTATGAATGCGCACGTATCAAGTACAAACAGGTACAGTACTATGAAGAGAGATGTAAAACAGGGACCACGACGTAGATATCGTGAAAGGCGACCAAGAGTACATTGTATGATTAAAAAAAGAGAGAGAGAATGCACAGGAGAGCGTGCGTGTGTATGTGCGTATACATACATACATACATACGAAGGCTGTAAACGCACTAATGTGTGCGTTTGCCTTCGGCTCGCATATATAAATATATATATATAATATAAATGTAAAACAGAGAGATATATATTAAAAATACACAAATATATATGTAAAAAGAGCTATGTATATACGTATAAGATAGAATATTATATAAATACTCTTAATATATGTATATATAAACATGTGTATATATAAATATATATAAATATCGATGTAAAAATGTAAAAAGTATGTAAAAAGTCATATATTGATATAAAATTGTAGAAAATTGGCAGTATACGTATATGGGTCTTGAGGGGGTGGGGGTGGGGTGGGGTGGAAAGTCAGCGGTACGACTATGAATATGATAAGAGTAAAAGCGAATATATAAGTGAGTATGTATATATATATATATATATAAATATATGTAAAAAGAGACAGAGAAAGAGATATAGATATGTAAAAAGGGAGAGACTGTGAGCGCGCGGTGAGATTGTAGGGAAATTTGTGATCCAAAAACAGAGCGTCCCCCGATATGTGTTCGGGGAAGAAGGGGGAAAAAGGGCTTCGGACCGTTGGTCTTTCGGAGGTGATGAGAGACATTGGTGTAAGAGAAAGAGAAAGAGATAGATAGTGAGAAAGAGACGAAGAGTATAAGGAGAGTAAAAAAGCGCGATTGTAGTTATTTTTCTGATCGATGGGCTGGGGAGGGGCAACGTACCCGGTCGTGCTGCAAGCGCGCTGTGGGCGTCTCTTGTAAAACTCCACTTCGTCCACCGTCCATACGGCCCCTTTCACGTTTTCGACTCGCATGAAACATTTGTGGAGAGACAGGTTGTGTCGCACTGCGTTCTATACAAAATAATACACAGACTAAATAAGCAACGCAAAAAACGAACGAAGCCAACTCAATCACGGCCCCGGTAGTCGTCGGGGGGGGGGGGGGGGTTGGTCGAAGGGGAAAAAGGATCACGGTTGTTCGATGGCATGTGTTATGTATGTGTATGTGTGTGTGTGTGTGTGTGTATGTTCATGTGCGGGGCTCTGTGTTACGCAGGCGGTAAGAGAGTCCTCGACATCGGATGACGATGACCGGTCACGCTGATGAGGCAAGGATGGATGATGATCGTGAGACCAAAACTCGAGGTGGAGTCGCTAAGTGAGACGTGCGATGTTGTGCGTGTACTGTAAGACTTGTCAGAGTGTCTGAGCAGCGTTGCAAATGGTCTCGCGAAGTTGTCTCGGGCGCAAAGTATTTTCTGAGGGCTCACGTGATGGTAGATCGATAGAATATTCGCCTTTCGATGTGTGGTTCCGTCGTATAAAAAAAGATACGCGTCTGCGTTGTACACGTTGAAGTTTAACGTTAAACTTGCAAATATATATTTATGCAAGTATGCCACAATGATGTTGCAAACTTATTTTATCGACGCGAGTCATTATATGTATGATACGAATCATATATATATATATATATCTTCGATGTGATCGTGACCTAGATCCTTTTTATTGCTATGTTACTTTGTATCTCGATTAGTTTTATATAGAGACCTTAATTTATTTTAGAGCGACCGGTTACAACGCTGCTTCTAAGAGAGCTCATGTCAACCATCTTTAGAAATGCGCGAAAACATATGTATAACAAAATGGCAAAAATGTCTTCTACCGTGTATATAAAAGAAATGTATAACACAACATATGATGGAAGCAATTGTTTTTGGAAGAACATGTAGTGGCTGTAGTCTTTATTTGCTGTATAAGCGAGATGTTTCTCTATTTGTGTTGTACAAGCCACGAGAATATAGCTGTTCCATTTTCAGTCTGGAATGTAAAAGTTAATTCGATGTTCATCCACACTTGCTGCTTTGCTAACCGTGCGTCATTATGCCTTGATAATTCAAAGATGGATGCAATGGCTACTCATCACCGTTGAAGAATGTAAGCGAAGCTGCCACCTTAAACTCAACCTGCCTCGCGAACTTAACGCTGATAACCAACGCTGCTGCGTCGGTTGCGCCTCTTTCTCTCGGAACGACGCTGTGTGCGGCTCTGTTCTCGGAGATCATTTACGCAACTCAATCAACATTTCCCGTAGTGTTCTTGCGAAAGCTGCTTGTCAAGACAGATATAAGGTAGAATCTCAGAGAGGCGTTAAGCAAATCAATGCGACAATGCGAACGGACGTAAATAATAATAATAAGTGAATGTCAAGTAAGCACAGCGCAAATCACTATTCAAGTGCAACTGTGTACTGCGTCTCAAGTAATCTATCTATGAATGCAATTACTCAAGCAGCGCCACTAATTTGACAGCTCGAAGTAAGGCCGGGAGAGTGTGTTTCAGGTGGCAGCGAAAATGTAGAACGGAAAATTCGCGCACACAGCGCGCGTGTGACATACACAAAAATAATATCAAGTACAGGAGGTCTAATCAACTGATAAACTGGTAATAATCGGAGCGTAGTGTCCGCTGATAAGATCGTGACGGCGATAATGTCGACGATGATGACGATAGTCTCTCCGTTTAGCACAGAAGGAAACCGGCAATTAAGTGATCGCGACGTCGAAGGCCGCGGGAGGATATGTAAATAACGAACCAAAACGATTAATCGAAAGAGACACGGTTTGTGGCATTCCTTTATCGTTAATGCACAGCTAGTCATCTAAAAATCTAGGGGCAACGACAACAATTATATTCATGCCGCAGGGCCGAATAAAATTGGACGGGGCCGCCGCGCCGCCCGCTGTGACGCGTAGCCGCCGCCGCCGTCGCCGCCGCCGCCGCCGCCGCCGCCGCTGCTCGTCGTCGCCGACGTGCGCGTCTCTCGCTGGTCTCTCCCTCTCCTCTCTTTCCCGCCGCACCGCTCGCTGCTTGGCAAACCTGTTTGCGTTCCTTATGTTTTCATGTACACATAACCATGCGAGGCGAAGCGTCATGGCAAACGTCAATTACTTTCACGCACACTCGCACACACGCAAAAAACGCACGCGCGCGCAAACACTCTTGCCAACAAGCGGATTGTCACGTCGGCGCTTACAAATCGATCATGAACCATCGGTACGTTATATTCGTTGCTCTCGGATATGCCTCCGAACGCCGTGTTGTGAAGTGTGTTATAATTTTGGCAACGATCAGGCCGATTTAATCGGCAATTGCTGTCTCGTCCGTTCATTTCTCTGGCGAAATAAATGATGCGTCCGCGCGTTGCTTCGCGCTCTGCAGCATGCGTTCGCATCGCAGCGCTCCGTGATTCTTCCTACATCGATGAATGAAGAAGTGATATATGGAAACGTTATTGACGTTGGCGTGAAACGCGACATCTATGACATCTATTCTTATTCTTCTTTCATAAGAATCGCGCGATTTCCCTCCTAATCGATTATCTAACATTAGCGAGCAAAACAATTGTCCGTGAGGACTTTTCAATGGAAGATCCTCTCTACCGCTGGTATTATAGTTAACTATTGCTGTAACCGTACAATTCAATGTTACTTTTTGCCCGATTGTTGACATCCGATGAATAGAATTGATATTGATCCTGCGAGCGAAGGAAAATGCAGAAGAATATAATGATAGATGGCTCATAAATGACTCGTAATAATACGTTGTATTCCACGTGTTACCACAGTTCTCCCCCCTATTTGAGAAAGCAATACAACTATCATTACCAACTGGTCTGCCGGGCACGTCACTTAGCCTGTTAATTCAAATCAATACATGTAATTATCCGAGATTTTCGAAAGCTCATCCTTTCTAGTTAAGCGTATTCGGCTTAATCGGCTCGTAAATGCAAATTGCATGATCAGTCATTTTATCCTTATAACTCCCGTCGCATATACGTCGGTTCACATTAGGTTGGTCCATTTGAAGTGAAGTTATCTCCACTTTGTCGTAACTTTTTTTCACCAGTTAAAGATGGCGTTTAAAACACGTTTCGTTTTTGTGCAATAAAATCGCTATAAAAATTGACGGATGATGTAAAAACGAGCAATTGTAAAAGCGGAGAAAATTAAAAGTCCGCGGTAAAATATATTTTTCTTTTTCTTTTTTTTTATTTTTAAATAAATCGATTCCTTCAAATTAATAAAATTGTTAATTTGTTGTCACATTTTTTTTCTTTCGTTTCGCGACGCGCTTGTACGATTATACTACTGAATTTATAAGATATACCTTCCACGTTGCTGCGTTGCGCCGGAAGTAGCAGAATGTATTTTGGAACCAGTTGTAAATTTCATTGAGCGTCAGCTGCTTCTCAGGAGATTCGATGATGGACTAAGAAAAGAACAACATAGAGAGTGGTAAATTACATTGACTTGTATCATTCATGATGACCTGTGAGATTTGAAGTAAAATCGTAAACGAAACTTTTTTATGTGTGCAATAGTGTTCCGTGTGTATAAGATTTTTGCCTGTCGAGTTAGGGCCGCGTTTCTACAAAATTCACAAACATTGTAATCGTTAATAAAATATAATGAATCGCGTACGCGAAATGAGAAAAGACAGTACAAATTTCATTCTGTTTGAATAAAATTGCAACGCATCAGTATCAAGTTTTTAGCGTACAAGGGGAAGGCCTTTGAATTAAATTACAGTACAAAATTATTGCATTTTAGGTAATACGCAACATAAAGGTTGAAAATTATAATCTTTAACGTATTGACGTTATAAATTATGTCAGTAACGATAGTACATCACGCTTAAGGTTCATATACGTTGTCAAAGAGTCACCACGATAATCCGCGATGAGTAAATGCACAATATCCGAATGATCCTTTGGCAATTATATTATAGTCACTCACCTGCCGAATTAGAGATGCATACGTGAACGGAGGTCTGACGTCCGCATTCTTGTAGAATTCCCTATTTCGCTGAATTTCTGAAACCGCCACAATGAATCTCATTTATTCTATATCTTATTAAAATCGCCAGTGGGTCGATAAGAGCTGATATTTTGATTAATATTGATAATAGGTAATTTTACAATCATTTCTTTGCGCAGATAGGCCTGAACAGTGGGATCACAACAAACAAGCAGACGATATACTGATCACACGAAAATGTCATGAAGTATCATCCTAACTAAATTCTTAGAGATGTGCGAATCAAGAATTTTTATGTCGAATCGAATCGAATCGAATCTCATTTTTTTAATTCGAATTCGAATCGAATCGAATCTATGAAATTTCATTCGAATTCGAATCGAATCATTAAAAAATTTAACATGACTATTAAACATGTACATAATGATGGAAGGTTTTAATATGAAAGAGGATATTGATATTGTAATATCATCTTAAAGTAAAATATATATTTAAATATTTAAAGTAATTTATAATTAAGTTATTAATTATAAGTTAAGTTAATTACAAGTTAAGGGTTCAAACATACGGGCCCAGATGTCTCGTTTTGTACTTGCAAATATAATGCACGCTAATATATTTGATTCGTAATTGAATCTTCGATTCGAAATTTTCGAATTATTCGGATTCGAATCAGGGATTCAGATTCGAATCGAATCGAATTACATTAGATTCGATTCGATTCGATTCGAATTCGAATAGTTCGCACATCTCTATAAATTCTGTGTATGTATGTGTGTGTGTGTGTGTGTGTGTGTGTGTGTGTGTGTGTGTGTGTGTGTGTGTGTGTGTGTGTGTGTGTGTGTGAATGTATCACAATATCCTTCAATATTCAGCTAAAAGCTACATCTATTTGTTTTTCTAAATTACTGTGTTGGTTTTTCCATTTTTTTCCCTAAATAGTTATGAATATGTTTTAAACACGTTCACGGAACAAGATTGATATTTACCATTCAAGATTAGCTATCTAATTTTATCGCATGTAATACCTTTCTTATCATCGTAGATGTTTAAAACTTCACAAAACTAATATATTGTTACTTTTATTTTTACTCTACATATGCGCGCGCGATTATCTAGCTGCGATGTGAAGTAAAGTGTGCCGTACAACGTTCTCTGTATATTATATTGTTCATTAAATTGCGTTTTTCCGAGTATAATTTAGTATTTTTTCAACGAGTTCTATAATTGAAAAGTGAGTAATAACTAAATTAAACATTAAAATTATATGCAAAATATATCGATATTGATTATAAATAGAAATTTCCTTTTCTCTTTTTTTAATGAAATGACGGTTTTGAAAACTGTAGAAGTACCTGTGAATGTGCATGCTTTTGTACGAAAAAGAATTATAAATAATCACGGAAGGAGGCAATCCAAATATTAAAGTTCTCTATCATCCTTTTCGTTGTGGCTCCGTAGTGGATCGACATGTACGCAAATTAATTTCTGCTTTCGTGAGAAATAAACATTTTTCTATTATCTAGAATGCAGGGAAGGAAAATGATTCAAACCGAACACGTGGATCGCCTCTTTCACGCTCGAAAGAAATAAAAAAAAAAAATATATATATATATATAAAAACGGAAAGCTACAAACTGTTGCCAATAAATTGATCCAGTCCCAGGTATTCGCACGAGATGTCGGGACATTCACGACTTTGATTATCTCGGGAATGATGAATAAAATCAAGAAAATGCGGTACTACACGGAGAGGCATGGATGAAGAGAGGTCTCGGGGGGAGGTCAGCGTTCATGCAAAGGTGCACCCTTCCGCAAGAAAATCTTTAAGCCACAAAAGGGAGCGTGGAAAGAAGGTTGACAGTACCTTGTTGGACGTCAAGGCCAGCACGCTCCAGCATGTAGGGCAGCCCTACACGGTGGGGAGGGCGGGCAGCACAAGAAATAAGGAAACAACAAAAGCATCGATAAGAAAGAGGCTCGAGAGCTGGCGGATATAAGAATTTATATCTCATCTCGTTCTTTTTCTTTTTTCTTTTCTTTTTCCTTTTCTCATCGCATAAATTTCCTCGCATCCCTCTCTACACCTATGCTCGTCCTACGCCGCGCCGCCAACAAGGTGTCGAACACTGTCGCTCACGTGACATAATCGCTACCATAAGTAATCTGTGCGTGTGGTACAATTTACGACAGGAAAAGGCACGAGACCAAGAGAGGACCGTAAAGAGCACTTGCTACAGGATCGGTATTTTCTTTTATTTCGTCGGAGTGAGCATGATTTAGTGACGAACCTCGAAATGCCAAGGTATTGTACAGTGCGTGTATAAAATTCGTCGAATTAACTTATCGAATAAGGAGATTGCAGAAACTCCAAGTTGAGAAGCGCCTATAATCAATGAGCGTTCCGTTTTCTCGTATCTCGTTGACAATCTCGTTCTCCGCGATTTAATGTTTAACGACCGTATTTCTTTGCCATGATGCATCTATTCGCAGGTTCTTCAAAGCACAAATTTTTGTGATGTAAATCGGCAAGAAATTGGCTCTCTCTCCTCATAAATACTTTATCGAGAATCATATAAATTGTGAAGTACTTGTTGAAGATGGCATTTCGAAGCTCGCGCATCACTCCGAGTATGATTTTGTGTTATCGTTACCTTCGTTAATATCTATTCCAGATCTATCGACGGCTACTCTGCGCCTTACAGTGCCCTCGTCATACAGTCCTACGAATAGTATTTAATTTCTGAATTGTCATTTCTTTCGTTTCACCTTTCTTTTCTTTTTTCTTTCTTTGACGACATTAACTTATCCACTTCCAAGCTCATTGTACGCATCTCAAATGTAAAGTTACATATTCGGAAAATGGTTACACACATCGAACATATTTTATCGAACGTATCAAAGAATCATTTAGAATGAACATTATCTGGAATGAGTAAATGTGGATAGTACGGTAAATTACATTGCGTTTAAATAAAAGTAAATTAATGTCACTAAAATCGATGTAATAACGAGCAATATCTCTGTGTGTAGGTAATGTAAATCGAAACGAATTGCATATTAATCAGTTCCGCTGAAAAATTCCAACAAAAATATGACACTGGATTATGCAAGACATGCTAAACTATCACGTAAAAGTATATATCTTTTCTCTTTCCAGTGTTGTTAAGACGTTAAGTTGACAAGGTTCAATTACAGAGACGATCTACCTTCGGACCTTCGGAAATTCGTGATTACGTTTCTTCGGACCATTAATGCGCAAAACACTGACGCTGACGAAACATACGTTTCGCGTACGTGAAGTAATCTCTGTGATCAACCATTTTCCTCGAAACAGGCAAAACGGAAGAGCTCTTGTAAAGTTTAACAACAAAATGTATCTCGGTAACGCATTCTGACCCTCATTGATCCTAACAACTCGAAGACGACACGTCCAATCTCACCCGTTCAGATGAGATCATTAGGGATCAAGGAATAAAAGACGACCTTACCTCCTGCCAAGGAAAGAGCTGACTTGTCGCTGATGCGTCGTCTGATCGGACCTGCCATGCTTGGCATGCTGCCGGGCATATTCGGCATCGGTGGTAGACCGGACATGTTCGGTATGGTCGGAAGTGGTGGCATCGGTGCACCGCCGGCCGACGGGGGTAGTTGACCGCCCCCGGGCGACCTCACCGCGGATACCAGCGCGGACATGGATACCGGCGACACCTGAGAGACCCCGAAGTTAGGTGGTGGCTGACTCATCAGCGCGGTAGAAAAATTTAGCTTTGGTAAACTCGAGCCCGTCTGAAAAAAACAGAGCGAACGAAATCGTAGGAAACGGAAGAGAGGATAATGACGATGCTGTTGGCGATTTTGCAGATGAAGAAGATGGCGCAACAAAATTGCATCGGAAGAGATATCGCTTTGGTCTTCTCTTAAGGTAGATTCTTTGAAATAATAGCAACATCGGAGGAGAAAGCGACGCTTTGTACATGCGGACTAATAAAAACACAAAAAAAAAAGATCGAACAGTTTTACATTTGAGCGAAATTTCGAGCTTAGTCGCGAGTTTTGTTCGCACGTCGAAACTGTCCATCAAACGACGATAGCTGCGATTTAAGCGATGCTCGATGCGACATGAATATTTTATTACACACATTGTAGTGGAACGCATAGATTATACGACGCGTGAGAACTATACGAGCATTCCGCGAACTGTGTGACGGAGTCACTCACACACAGCCGCGTTAAAATAATTAAGCCGTCGTCGTCGGGCGTGAAGCGTTGTCGCTGGCGGAAGGCTAATGCGATATTGGTATTCTCCGACTGCCCAACTTGTTAGGGGTTTTAATTAAGGCGATATAAAATCACCGCGGTCTCGATGAATTATTAATGCAAACTTTATGTATAAATTAGCACTCGACTCGCCGGCGCGTTAAAACTGAAACTCGCGTTGTTGTTAGCAGGCCGCGAAGAGCTCGTAAAATCTTCCGACGGCCCGCGGTCTGTCGTGAAAATCCGGCTTTATGATCTCGGAGCGGCAATGCCGGGGAAGCACCGGAGGGGGGAGTTTACGCGTCGCGGTCGGATCGTTTTTCCGGACTCGACTTTCGCGGCACTCGTTCTGCATTGAACTCTTGAGTGTATTGAGATTGCGGGCTATTGCAGTTGCGAAAGCGCTCTGCGTCTCGGGTATATACACTTCACGGTATCGTAGAATAGTGGCAGTAATGCGGTAATAATTGGCAGTCTGGGTTCACACGCAGAAGAACACAATTCAGATGTCACAAAATCATATAAAGGTTAGGTTAGTCGATGATAAGAATTATGTGAGGAAGATACCGTGAGACTGCTCTTCCAAAGCAAGTGTGCTTAGATCTCGAACATCGTGCGAATGCAACAAGGATAACTTTACCGATGACTCGGATGACTTTGGTGGTTCCGGCGAAGCCATTTGTTTCGCCATATGCAGGTGGTGCATCATGGCGCCTAGTCGGTCTCGCTCCTTCTGCAACTGAATTTCCAGCTGCGACACCACTTGCATCTGGACTCTGGCCTGCGCTGTCGATCGGTCATCCAACGTATGCTCTGTATTTAAGTGTCTGCAATATTTCATCGATTAATTCCCGATTACACAATTATCCTGCAGAGCTGCAAACGAAAAGAAAGAAAGAAAAAAAAAAGAAAGAACAAAAGATCCCGGGCATATAACACTTCCATTTGCCAACTACGAGCAAGTCGTCCCCTCAGGAGACAGAGAAAATTAAGCTTCGCCGCGTCGTAGATAAGGACAGGGATGGGGAGGAGGGTGCCAACATCGCCAACAAGATTTCGTATTTAAGAATTTCCGTAATCCTTCTTCGTCGGCGGAACGGACGGCTGTATCGACGAGGATGGCGGAGGGTGGTGAAGGGTGAGTTGGTTGGTTGGTTGGTTGGTTGGTTGGTTGGTCGGTCGGTCGGTTAAGACCAACGAAGATGCGGGAAGGTCGAGGGAGTTTGAGCGGACGAACTGGGAGGAAGAGAGGGGGGTAGAAAGGGATTAGACTGAGGGGGCATAACGATGCGGTCGAATGTCGTGAATATTAATGAGACAAAGGTAATTAGCGTTTTTCTTTTTTTTTTTGTAAAGTAACGGCTTGTTTGAGGGAGTTTGCACCGACGAGCTACGTGATTACGAAGGATCCCCGGCGGGACGACGGAGCCACGGAGCGGGTTTGCGGTTGCTCAAAGCCGATGGGCGAAAGCGCTTGATGTCAATGAGATATGCTGACGCGGACGATTTTTTTTTCTCCACACTCCCTCTGCCTTATCCGATTTAATTGCCGGCTTTATTCGTCCCACGCCTTCGATCCTGTACACTCGTTTTCTGTACCGAGAGGCGTCTCGGCCTCTTCCGCGAATTTACCTACTTATCCGTGAATCCATCCAAATTACACATGGTGGTCCAGAGATATTCGGATCTCTACGTGGAGACTTCCGGATGTCTTTTACGAATAAACGCGTTAATTGCGACGATGAACGTTGATGATCGTCTCACGACAAAGTCAATCGAGCACTGAATAATCCTTAGGCGGATAAAGACGTTCGATGTGTGGCGAAAACAGATCGGTCAAATTAACGCGACGCGATGAACGACAACGGATGTGTCTCAGCTGAAGGACAAAGCATTTTTGCATTCTCGAGAATGCGAGAAGCGGGAATTCCGTCGCCTACGAGAGAAGTGCGAAGTTTGGCACGTTCATCCAGGTCGCGCGTTAATTCAACAAACCTCTCCTCGCGTAAACAGAAAGATCGGGCCGAGGAACTCACTTAAGGAATGCTTGATAGTCTTCACAAATTACTTCACAGCCTGGCCACTTGCAAACCCCATGGCCATAGAGGGGGTGAACCTTGTCGTTGCAGGAGGCGTCCAGCGGCTTCTCGTCCAGTGGTGTTGTGCCGTTCACCTCGGATCGCCGACTCGAAGCTATCGAATTCAGAAGGCCTGCGATAGTTCGGCAAACGAACGTCGCAATTGCAAAAGTAAAACACATAAGAAAGGAGAAACGGGAGCGCGGAAACGAGCGAGCTCGAGACCAAAAGTGTGTGGCGTGAAACTATCGTGTGTTTATTTTTTCTTCCTCTCTCTTTTTTTTTTCTTTTACCATTCAATCCGGAATTGGACTTGGGTACGTTGGAGTTCTGGTGGGAATCCTGGGTGTCCGACGGCTCTGACTTCCACGTGGGTAGATTATCACCCGGTGGCAAACCTGCTTGAAATTTAGAAAGAGAACCGTCACCGGTCGTCGAACGATCGAGGAGCGCAGAGACGCTGATCAAGAATCTTTTCGTTTCTCTTCCTTTGTTTCATGTGAATGTATCCTTATATAGCAATTTGCGCCCAATGCGCCGAAATCTGCTTCTAATCTGCTAAGACGCGTGTCGGAATCTTTCTTGGATCGAGCACGCGCGCATTTCTCGCGCATAAATACCTGATGAAGGATTGTGGCCTTGAAGGCCCAGTCCTTGCTGCAGCAGATACTGCCTCTGCGTAATCTGCAACTGCTGTATCAGCTGTTGCTGCTGAATCGCCAACTGTTGGAGAGGTGCCGAGGCCTTCTTCTTGTCCGCCGTTTGCAGCAGATGCGTCTGCTGAAATAAATTCAGCTGCAACTGTTCCTGCAACTGCTGCATCGCCTGCTCCAGTTGCTTCTTGTTGAGCTCCGCGAGCTGATGCTGATGCTGAAATGAGCAACAGTGTTTTGCAAATGTACGCTGGCATATAAATCGTCGACTTTATCGCGAGAATCTCGCGCAACGTACAGGTTCCGTCATGCTACGATGGGGGGGGGGGCGAGGCAGGAGGGGAATGCTTCAACATTCGAAGCGAATGTTGTTGATCGCGGCGACTCTCACGTGTAAATTAATTGTTCATCGGTATTCGTTGAATGGGAGAGATCGACATAATTAATCATCAATCAAATAGCACCGTCGCAGTGGTTTATCATTAAACGTCAGGGGAAGTAAATATTTCGCTGCTGCCAAATTAGTTGGGCGAAATAAGAAAGAAAGAAGAAAAAAGGGCGAAGACGCGTCTTGGAATGATGAATAAATCACGGGCGCAGATAATTCGCGGCAGCGAGGGGGCAAGAAGATAGAGGGCAGTTGATGGGTACCTCGAAGACAAACAACGAGACACAACGGCTGATGGCGATGCTTAATTGCTTACCTCACCCTCCGGCCTAACCCCCTCGGCCTATTTCATTTCTCGGTTTCCCTCCACCCATTCTCTCTCTCTCTCTCTCTCTCTCTCTCTCTCTCTCTCTCTCTCTCCCTCCCTCTCTCCCTCTCTTCCTCTCGTAGAAGAGCCTCGAGGATATTTTAAAACAAACTTCCAGATACGGGCGCACCCTTTATCATATTACTATAAACAAAAACTGCGCGATTAACGAAGGCAAACACGCTCTCGCGCTAATAGGGACCTTCCGCATTCATTCGAAACGCATGAACTTTCTACAATGTACCTCGTATTTGTTCCGCGCTATTTTGCCGCAATTACAAAGTCTGATATTATTCAGGAATTTTTTAAGCAACCTGCACACCTCCGAGACATTAATTTGCGCTCTGAAATATTATTTCAACTTCATCTGTTTATTTACCCTCGCTAGCGGGATTCTATAGATATCGATTTATCAAAGGCGAGAGAGAGAGAGAGAGAGAGAGAGAGAGAGAGAGAGAGAGAGAGAGAGAGAGAGAGAGAGAGCTTGGTACGCGGTGTACAGCGAAGAAAGGATAATTAAGCGTAACATACCGCACACATTTCCGCAAATGGTGTAGCTCCGACGCGCGATTCCTCCTTCGGGGAATAATTTCTGCTACGATAAGCTATGCGCGCTGCCATGAAAAATATTTGTTGTCGCGTGCGTCGGTATTTTTGAAGAAGAATATCGGAGTGCTTATTGGATCGTAGGCGCCGGAATAACATTATGGCTGGATAGCAAAAGTGGTTCGCGCGATGTGTATTGTTATCGTAACGATATAGAAGGGACTACCTGTTTACACAGACCAAGTATCAACCCTCTCGCTACAGCATCGAAGTTCCCACAGTTCGTCAGCCGCAAATCGCTCGCTCGCTCGCTCGCTCGCGCGCGCGCGCGCGCACACGGGCGCACCGAGAAACTCAAAACCTCTTTTAAGATTAACTTCCGCGCGAGAGGCGGTCCTTTGTGCTTCCGTCTTGTTTATTCAAGCGAGGGTGAATTTGATACAGTGTGACGCGAGCGAAAGTTCAGGAATTCTCTACTTACGTTCTTCAAAGAGGAGAAGTAGCCGAACCGCTCCTGGCTGGATGCATGGTCGGAGGATGAATCCTGCAATCGAACGACATTATCGATGAGACTCTGCAGGTATGACGCATACCACAAGTATTACGAGATACGTTGCAGACGAGAGCGCGGCTCTGATAGAAACGTGAAGAGCGCAAATCACACATGCGGACGCAAGAAGAAACGAAGAACAGTACGACACGCGACGAAAATTCCAGAGTCGGGGCTAACCAGCCGCTGGAAAAGTTTCCCAGAAACTTCAAGTGTGATGTTGAAAGTCCATTCGCCGCAGTGATATGATACGAAGATATCAAACACGCGAGTGCTTGCAGAACCGGCTACTACTGTGCGAACGCGCTATCGCCTCGCGAATTCACCTGATGATGCTGCTGCTGCTGTTGCAGGTACAACGTGTGCTGCTGCATGAAAGACTGCAATTGCGTGGGACTGAGTATGTGTTGTTGCAGCAGCTGTTGCATCTGATGGAGGCCGCTTGCCGAGCTGAGCATCATCTGCGAGGGAGTCTGCGACGGAGGAGCCCCTGGCGGGCCTCCGGGTAGCGGGCCCTGGGAAGGATTCGGCGGCGAACCCCTCTGCGGGGCCTGCGGACTCTGATGTGGACTAGGCTGGGGCCCTGGTGCCCCCGAGCTGGGCTGTTGCGACTGTTGTGTGATGATCGGCTGCTTTTGCTGGGTCATGGGTGCTGCTGTCACTGCGTGTCCAGCGGGACTGAGCTTCCCATTGCTTTGGTACTCGATGCTGAGCTCCTGCTGCTGCTGCTGTTGTTGCTGCTGCTGTTGCTGCTGCTGTTGCTGCTGCTGCTGCTGCTGCTGCTGCTGCTGCTGATCAGCGATGCCGCTGCCACCGCCGGCTTCGGCAATGTTGCTTCTACTGGAATCACGATTGCGCGTCGCTTGCAGGCGATCCCTGTCGCGGCATTCGCGATCCCGCGACGAGAACACGCTGTCGCGCGACTGCTGTTGCTGTTGCTTCAGGGCTGCGAACAGCGAAGTAGCCTGCAATACGAAAAATGGAGATCGAGAGCTCGATCAAATTGTCTAATGATGTAGGCGTATCTAATGGTGTAGTGCGTGTAAGACACGAAATCTTTCTCATTATTCTCCTTTATTTATTATCGCCCGTCGTGCGTCGTGCGGGCAATAATGACATGTGAAAACGGCAGATGTCGTTGCACAACATTGTCGGAAAGACATATATCTACATATGGGTTGACGGTATTTATGCAGCGAAAAGTTGGACGATAAGACAAGGTTGAAGGAGCAAAGATCAGTTATTCCGGGCGGAATATTCGTGATATAAATGCACCACATAATGTACGTGCGTTAAACTTCTACCGTATTTTGAACAATATTGATCTTATCTAATGGTATTCGCGCGGACCAGCACCGTCGGCTGCTTCGTCATCATTGGCTGGGTCGAAGGAAAACTCGCTGTTGTCTGAATGACGTGCGGATCGAGTCTCCTCGGCTGTTTACACAGCGGGATTTGTTTTATTAAGTTCTATCATCAAGCAGATTGTCGAGTGTAAAGGCGGAACCGACTATCCCCGCCTCTCTTCCGCTCGCTTCTCGTTCCTCGCGAGAGAGGGTCGAAACTTTCGAGCGCGCTATAGGTGTCTCGATAAGTTCTCCGTTATTATTGCGTTATTATATGATATAATGGGCGCGGCATTAGACAAGATTTCTCGAGAAATTTATTATCTCTCATTATCCTAAGAGCTCTGGCTCTCCGTGGAGGCAAGTATTATAAACTCAATGTTGCTTTCCGCTGGGCTGTCGAGAGAGAGAGAGAGAGAGAGAGAGAGAGAGGATTTACGACGAGAATTAATGTATGTTTTGTATGTATATCAGTGCAAGCAATCGGTGTCAATAGCTGTCTTTTTAAGAACGCCAACAGGACACGTATTTTCCAAATTCGAGAATTTTTCCGTACGAAGGTAGAGTGTGTGTGTGTTGAAATAATTTTAATGTTTAACACATTTCTGCAGCGAGCACCTCGTCGCGCCGCTTCGCGGCGAGGAACTCGAAGGATCAAGAATTCCGGCTTCTATCGCAGAAAATAAGAGCTTCTTTCGCGTTAAAAATAATTACGAAACAAAGCCGCAGGTGCGCGGATTATTTTCCCCGCGGAAAACGTCAAGCGGAAGGTTCGTCGATATTTCTGTCGGCGTATCTCGCAGCGAGGGTGCAAAATACGGCGCGTATTTGTGAAGGTACAAGGAAGCAGGTCTCCTGTACATCGCTCTGACTAATTGCCCGTCCTTGTAGAATATTATCGCGAGCGCATGTTATCACGTCGCATTAATAAGAAAAACTCACGCGGCGAGAAACACACTCGGTTTAAACGCAAAGTATTTCCGATTCGTCTGCTTCCCCTCTCGGCCTTGCACTTTGTGCTCTCGTCAGAGCCGGATTGCATAACAAACAATCGCCGCGCAACAAAGTAATTACCACAAAACACACGTGTCCCGGAATGCATTGCTCGCGCAAATATTTATCGATCCGAGAATCCATCGGGCAACAGAACAGCAAAACAGCTTGTCGGAGAGGCTCGTGTGCTCGTTTTGCACACATGTGTTTATATTCCGCGTAAATATTCCATCACCTTTTACGTGCTCGCACGACCACAACTGACGGTGTCTAGTGACGCCGAAACATCTAGTGGAGTTAAACCTCGGACTGCCGATGTCGTGATTTGTATTTCTATCGAGCGGAACAATCGCGCACTGTCGTCGCCACAATGCGCTCTCGCGAGGAAGTGCATTTTCTCGCGCAGCTCCGCGAATCATCGACGCCGCTGTACAAGTTATGCATTTTATAACACCGTTTTATATCGACTACGTGCGACTCGCCAGATAGAGGAAGCGATGTGTGTTATGTAAGAATCCTCTTATGGATGTAACTTCAAAATTCGCGAGTTACACACCGCGGAGAGAATCGCGACTCTCCGCACGCGAAATTTAAATATTCGATATTGCCACATTTATTGGCTTAACTCGGTTTTGCATAATACCGCTCAGAGATACAGACATAATTCGAGCAAGCCGACATTTTAATGGTCCCAGCCGCGTCGGGACAATTTGATCAAGCAATTTCTACGATGCGAGCAATCCGTGAGTCACAGCCGTGAAGACGTCGCTGAAGATAAATTTAAAATACGTTTGCCTTCACGGCGCTACGAAACGATTGTCTCTCGGGCGGAAGGCCGTGTGTCTTTTGCAAATCCAGCACGCCGAGTCCTATGCTAATCTTATTTGTGTACGATTACGTATGTTTATAACATGCAAAGAAATTCCACGGCGCGCGTTATCAGTGTTTAGTCAGGAGCGCCAACGCGTGGCGCTTCGACCCGAAGTCTGCGAGGCGGAGGAAAGAAAGAAAAGGGAGGAAAGGACGCGCGGGGGTCACAGGAGGCGACGAAGAAAAACAGAAGAAAGGGCACACCGCGTCGCGAAATTTTTGCATGCGTGCCGGGAAACCCTTCCCCCGAATTCGTCCCCTTTTTTCTGCCCGTCGGCGTCGCGAGCGGCGGCTTCGATATTTTTCACGTCGAGTTATCGGCGGTGCAATCCGTAGAACGAACATGGTTCATTCCCATCCCCTCGGGCACAATGCACTGATTATCACTGCGGAACGTGACTCTGTCATCCATAAATTGTGTAACAAGGACAAAAGTTTTACTTTTCGACCGGCGCGAGAAACAATGCGCATGCTGAAATTATAAGCGACGTCGTTGGCCTGTGAAATTAATGAAACGCAGCAATTGGCGGAACTGTTTAATCCACTTGAGTTCGTCTCCTCGTCCCACGCGGTCGTCCTTTAATTCGTTAATTAATGCCGACCCCGCGTCTCTCTCTCTCTCTCTCTCTCTCTCTTCTCTGTTAACGAAGAAACGATGGATCTTAAACCGGTAACCGCGACAACCACGGAAAGGGTAGCGATTTCCGTTATTCGCCGCGACGACGTACAGGGGTTTTCAGCGAGAGCGGCGGAGGGGGCGAAAAGACGATGAAGCCCCGACGTGTGTACACGGGCAGCAAAGGAAAAAGATATAAGAGTACGGAAGAATGAAAGTATAAGAGCCGACGTTGGAGGGCCATCGACTGCAGATAAGAGGGACTCCTAAGACTCTTTTAAGAAAAGGTTAAATAAAGGTCGGAGGCTGCGCTTGTTGTTGGCTGTTCAGATTCCTTCGACCCCTGCCGTCCTCCAACCCTATCCCCCTTGCGCCCCCTCTCCTCCTACCCCGGCCCGTCCTCGTCGCGGGTACGCCGCGTAACGCCACTTATTTGAATCCCGGAGGCTTCCTCGAGTTTTCAACCCCCTCGCGCGCAGCCTCTCATATCTTTTATATATTAGAATTTTCACCAACGTTCCGCTCCGCGAACTCCGCTCTGTGTTTACTGTTTGGATTTATCCCCTTCCTTTCCCCCCCCACCTCCCCCTCTCCGCCTTCTCCCAACCCTCGTGCCCGCTTTCCTCCACCGTCGCGGTATCCCACTGTGTCGGGACTCCCATGGCTGTATATGAGTTCCTTATGTACACCCTCGTCGTGATACTTTCGGTTCTCCTCGTTGGCGAACTTTCCACTGCGCCTCGTCTTCCGCTTCATCGACTGAGCGAAGGGTGGAAGGTCGCCGATGATGTTTAGGCAACTCTGACTCACTATAGCATTTCCAGTACCGTCAGCTTCGTCGACGTAACGCCACGCAGGTGTCTTTCCCCTTCCCCTTTCCAAGAGGACGCGGAGAATTCGCACGCGTTTGCGATCGCGTTTGCGACGATCCCGCACGCGCAATGGAGAGTGCGAGCGAATAAAATCGCATATGTAAATACGAATTGTTAGGAGAGGTTGACAGCGGAGGAAAAAAAAAGGAAAGAGAGACCGCCCGCCCGCCCTCCCTCTCTCTCTCTCTCTCTCTCTCTCTCTCTCTCTCTCTCTCTCTCGTCGATAGTTAAAATTTTAATGACCCGCAGAGCGATATTCGCGATTGCGAGCGAGAGTCCGCAGAGGAATCATGCATTCTGCAGGAAAGCAGAATTGGATATAGCCGCTTAACGACACGATCGTGTCGTGATTTAATAACGAACAATCGACGCCAATCGTTTTGCAAGCGTTCGGCAAGGTAGAAAGAGGGGAAGATATCAATATCAGCCGAGAGATAGGAGGGAATGCGAATACAAAACGGGTATCGAAATTTCTGTTGTGCAGGCGATTGTTCGATAGCCGGCGCTCCCGCCGCGTCGGTCGTGTTTTAAAGCGAGTGTATGGGGTATCGTTAGATTTTAAACTCGTTACAAGCACGCTGTCAGGAGTGTTTATTCAGCGCGTTTTTCTGCATGTCGACGATGCGCGAACTAAACTGCGTGCGGATCGGCTCTCTCTCTCTCTCTCTCTCTCTCTCTCTCTCTCTCTCTCTCTCGTCCGGCGCTCTACGTGTGTGCGCGCTCGCTCGCGTTACAGACGCCTCCGCGTGGTAGAAAAAAAGCCGGCGGAAAAAGTTGAACGGTTTAAATCGACACCGGCGTCGACGATCCGCCTGCACGATGAATCCAAATCAGATTCGATGTCGATTCTTTATTTGTGTTTTGCATCGGGTATCCACACCTATTTTGCAAGTCTGTTTTGCCATTCCGCGACGCGGCCCCTTTACAGCGTGTTATTATCGGTTACGCATCGGCGGCGTTCCGAGCCCGACTTTCGCTTATCACTTTCGTTCAAGTAGACGACGCTGAGTTTATAAAAAAAGAAAAAAAAAAAAAAAAAGACGGTTAATTCGCGCACAGATGCAGGGCTATCGCGACGTATCGAAGAGAGAAGTTGCGTTACTCTGGTGAAATGACGTTCTCGCGTAATAACTTGACGCGAGCAGGACACAAGGCAGAGACATTGTGAAAATCCGAACGCCACGTTAACAATACACTTGCAGACGCGATGCCTTCCAAGGTTCTTGCTCGGCGCTTCGCGGGGCGCACCTGATCACACTACAAAGGAA